TAAATTCATATAAAATTACATAATTAGCCAAAAAATCATATTGACCAACTAAAAATCATATTGAACAAATATAAGTCTATTTATCATGAGTTAAGATTAAAAATATATTATTTATTAATTATTAACTCATAATAATGAATACTTATCAACCATTAAGAAGAAATTAGATAACAACATTATCTCCATATATTCAAACTCATAGCAACTAGTAAATGTTCTCACTAAGGAATTAAATGAGTCAACATTTTAAAGACTCATATTCAAGTTAAGATTAGACTACATTCACTTAAGATGGAATGCCATAATAGAGAGAAATTAGAGGTCACATATAAGAGGGAGAAGGGATGTGAGAAAAGGGAAAGTTGCGGTAGGTGAGAGGACGTGAGTGAGTGAGTGAGTGAGTGAGTGAGAAAGAGAGAGAGAGAGAGAGAGAGGTGGGGGGGCAACAGCTCATCTCTTATGTGGGCCCATTAGGCCATATTCTCACATTCACCCATATTATGGATCTTACATGCATCACTTTCGACTGAGAACATAAATGTCAATTAGTCCCAACTTACGTGAGAAGGTGTCATAGGACGAGACGTTAAGACCCTTCGTAAAGATGTCTACCAATTGGTCTGAAGATGCCATGTATAGAATAGAGATTAGACCTCAAATTTGTCAACGAATAATATGACATACCATCTCAATGTGCATGGTATGCAAGTGAAATATATTGTAATTCGCAATAAATATTGCCACTTTGTTATCACAGTACATGGGCATAACCCCTTGTATTGAATAACCCAACTCTTCAAGAAGATTACGTACCCTAAGCATACAAGAAGACATCTCGTGTATGACTCGATACTATGCCTCATAGCTAGGCGAAGATGAAATACGCTGCTTGTGACTCGTCTAGGTCACTAGGTTGCCGCCAACATAAATGCAATAATCAATGGTAGATTTTCAAACTTCTCGGTCTCTCGCAAGATTAGAGTTTGAGTAAATTGCCACATGAAGATTTCCATGTCGGCAAAAAACTAATCCTCACTTGAGAGCATGCATGAGGTAGGCTAGAAGACAAACTGCAACATCCCAATGAATCTCGCATGACTCATGTATAAATTGACTGAGGAGATTCATAGTGAAGGTAATGTCAAGACGTGTAACCATGAGATAAATCAACTTCCCCACTAATCGCTGATATTGTTGGGGATCATTGAGTAAGAAAGATTTCTCATCCCAAAACTTCGGCCAGCTCTCGATTGACGATGCATGAGGCTTGCAGTCAAGAAGGCCTATCTCCTACAAAATGTCAAGAATATACTTTCATTGGGTAAGAACTACCTCACTAGGGTGGCAAGCAAACTCAACCCTCAAGAAATACTTGGGAGTCCCCAAATCATAGATATCCAAGTGTTCCTCAGAGGAATGCTTTGGTATCCTAGATGTTAGCCACATCATCTCTAGTAATGATCATATCATCAACATAGATGGCCAAAAGAGTGCAGCCACTAGCAAATGACCACTTGAAGACAATAGGCTCAAAGTCACACTCCCGGAAATTTTGCTAGTGAATCAATGCGCTGAACTTGGTAAACCAAACTAGGGGATTCTATTTAAGCCCGTAAATAGCTTTCTGAAGATGACAGATCTTGACAGATTCCATTGGCAGCATGTACTCGGGAGGTTGCTCTATATAAAAATCTTTGTCAAGGTCATTGTAGAGGAAAGCATTGAAGACGTTGAGTTGATGGAGTGGCCAATTAAGATTCATTGCCATAAAGACTAATATGCATATTGAGACAAGCCAAACCACCGAGGAGAATGTCTCAAAATAATCAATGCTATACTTTTGTGAGAACCCGCGAGCCACTAGTCTTGCATTATAACGATGTATCATCTCATCAGAAATGTATTTAAGGGTGAAAACTCATATGTAAGAAATAATATTAGCACCATGCAACCGAGAAATTAGCTCTCACATATCTCAGTAGATGAGAGCAGCATACTCTTCATCCATGACCATCTTTTAGTGAGGTACCACCAAAGCATTCACATGAAACTTGAGAATTGATTCAACAACCAGAGAAAAGGCAAATGCACGATATTTAGGTGAAAGGCAGTCATAGGAAACACATTAGCAATCAGATGAGGGGCACAAGAATGACAGACTATATTCAGATGTAGGGTATAGAATTAGGTACCTTTGCAAAACGCAATGGGAAGATGAAGGTCATCTTTGAGAGTCAAACTTGCGGGAGGAGACGAGAATTAGTGGGGAGCTGATAAGGAGACATGTGGAAAGACTGGTCTAATAGAGGCAGCTGATGAAGAAGTTTCAGACAATGGAAGAAGTGGCAGCGAAGATGACTGTGGTGAAGAAGTTGAGTTGGGAGGCGGTAACAAAAGAATTTAAGTGTGAAGGTGACTAGTGTCAAATGTTGGATCCAGGGCAGATATAGGTGTAGTAGTAAGCACAACTTCTAGCAGAGGCATAGACAGTGAAGATGGTGTATCAAAAAATCGTGACTCTTCATGAAAGGTGACATCAATTGAGACAACATACTTTTGCTTGCAAGGTAGATACACATGGTACCCCTTCTGAGTGTGAGAATAACTAATAAAGACACCCTTGATGACTCATGGAGCAAGCTTCAAAAGATTCGGAGTGGTATCTTGAACAAAAGTCACACACCTAAAAACTCGTAGATGAAGAAAAAATAGGTCACCCTTAGGCTAAAGACGTTGTAGTAGAACTTCATCGCCAAGGGGAGAGGATGGTAGACGATTGATGAGGTACGTTGAGGTGAGGCAGCAGCAGCAGCACCTGTAGAGGCAATGACGGCACCTGATAGGTGCTGCAAGACAACGAAAAATAGGACAGCATCCGACAAACTCAAGTTAAGGCGGTGGTGGCAAAAGATAAACCCTCCTCTTCAGGCTAACAAAAAATAGAACAGCATTCGGCAAGCTCAAGCGAAGGCGGCAGTGGCAGGAGATAAAGCCTCCTCTTTAGGCAGCAGAGGCGGTGGTGTAGCGGAAAATAGGATGATGTTTGGCAAGCTCAAGCTAAGGTGATGGCAGCAGGAGATAAAGCCTCCCCTTTAGGCAGTGGCGGCAACGGTAGGATCAACCTGCTCTGATACCATGTTGAAGGAGAAGAGAAGGAGACATTGAGAAACGAGAGATAGAATTGTCTGAGTATTAGAGAGAAATTAGAGGTTACATATAGGAGGGAGAAGGGATGCGAGAAAAGGAAAAGTTGCGGTAGGTGAGAGGACGTGAGAGAGAGAGAGAGAGGAGGGGGGAAGGGTGACTGCTCATCTCCTATGTGGGCCCACTAGGCCATATTCTCACACATATCAAAGTAATTATTTAAATTATATACATATCTTTTATTATATTTTTACCTCTCTTCGATAGAGTAGTGCATCTAGTTTGGCACAAGTGAAGCCAAACTAACTAGATCCACTTTGTGAGGACCTCGATCATTTTTGCATTTTTGCTTTCTCTCTCCTCTCTTGAGAGCCAATGACTCTCTTACCATGAGCTGCTTCTCCTCAAGTGGTCTGCAATTGTAGCAGCTTTGACACACCATTGAGTTTGAGTATGTTTGATAAAATATTTTCACTTTTTTTATAGGATGATTGATTTAAAGTCTTAGAAAAGGTTAAATCTTATCTAATTAGTTTCTATTTTCCAATAATCAAACTAGACCATTTGGGAATTCAACTTGAATATCAACTAGTCAAATTACATAATGATTAATCAGTTAAGACTTGCCCAACTACCTCTAAATTGCTCATACATGTACACCACATGATTGACTTGTAGTACTGGTCATGAGCCATTTTTCTTATTTCTACATGATGATTCATTTTAGATTTAAGGAAAGGTCAAATCTCATTTTAGATTGATTGGCTAAAAGTACTTAAGGATTTGAAGATCCATTAGTCAAGCTACTTGAAGATTGGCTGGTTAAAAGACTACTTTGCCCCCTCCACATTGCGTACATGAGTACAACACAATTGACTTTGAGTACTAATCACATGTTATTTTTATTTTTTTATAGGATGATTAATTAATTTTGGATTTTAGAAGGGGTCAGATGTTGTCTGCTTCATTAATATTATCTAATAATCAGAGTAGACCAATTGGGAATTTGATGAGGTCCTTGCCTCATCATCTATGCCACGTAGGCAATGAAGCTGATCGTTGCCTACCTCACTACGTCGGAAGCGGAACTAGTAGGAAGAAGAGACGGACCAGTCTCCATTGTAGAGACAGAGCCTATAAAAATCCTTATGAGCCAAGTGGGAGAAGACATGAAAGAAGTATAGAGTATTATCCACTCTAAGGGTTTACCTGAGTCTCACTCGCTCTAAGGGTTGTGTTGAGCCTGACCCGCTCTAAGGTCGTTATCCTCACCTTCTTATTCTCCCTGCTCCTACGTCCTACTGGAGATCTCTCGGGTCCACTTTGTCTCTCTCACTTCCCCGCGCCATGTCTCTGATCTCCTGTGGCCTCGCTTTGTCCTTTAGTGTAAGACATCAGCTACTGTTCCGCCCGCAATACTCTGGAGTCACCATCTCCCTCCTCAGCTAGATCCAACGGTTATCCTGATATCCCTCGGTCTGTACAGTACCCGGGGCCTTATCAGAGTTCAAAATGAAGATCAACTAGTCAAGCTATTGTATGACTGGCTGGTTAAGACCGCCGCTACCGTTGACTTTGGATACTGTTCATGCATTTTTTTATCTTTTATGGGACGATTCATTTTGGATTTTAGGAAAAGGTCAAACATCTTCTGCTTCGTTACTATTTTCCGATAATCAGAACGGACCAGCTGGGAATTCAACCTGAAGATCAACTAGTCAGGCTACCAGGAGATAGATTGGCTAGCACCGCTGCCCCTGCCCCCTCCTAAACCAGCCCACCACCGGCGTCCTATTCCTTCCCCACCTCAGACTCTGCGAGAGACGAGAGAAAGAGAGAGATACAGAGAGAGAGGTCTAGGCGGCGGAGGCGGTGGCGATGGAGGGGCCATCGAGCCACTTAAGGCGGAGCTCGATCTCGCCGGACTCGACGTCGCAGAGCCTGAGGCGGAGGTCCTGTACTATCTCGCCGTCGAGGAAGGAGACGGAGCTGTCCACCACCAGGCAGTTCTCCCCGTCCGGCGGAACCCTCCTCAGCTTCGTCTCCCCGCCGGCGGCGAGCCGCAGAGCGCGCCGGAGTCTGGCGGCAGAGAAGATCGGCCGGAGGCTGACGTGGGCGTGCCCCATCTCGTCGTCCGCCTTGAACACGTCCCTGTCGAACACCTCCTGCGGGCGAGAGATGGAAAATCCTTGCCATTCAAATCGCGCAAACCCACCCCGAAGAAATGATCAATCTCACACCAGCGAGAGATGATGATGGTGATGGTGAAGATGATGATGATGATGATGATGATGATGATGATGATGATGATGATGATGGTGGTGGTGGTGGTGGTGGTGGTGATGATGATGATGATGATGATGATGATGATGATGCTGATGGTGGTGGTGGTGGTGGTGATGATGATGATGATGATGATGATGATGATGATGATGGTGATGGTGATGATGATGATGATGATGATGATGATGATGATGATGACGATGACGATGACAACTGCGACAAGAAGAAAATAATAATTCTCTCGGGTGGGTCATCGCTGATCATCACCCACGACGAAAAATTAATCGCACCCACAAAAATTGGATGACGACGAGGATGAATCAAGAACAAGAACAATGATAATGGTGTTCACGCTTGATGGGTTCGCGGAATTTCGAAAATCAGGCGTAGTGGAATACGGGCAGAATATGCAGAGAAAGCAGGGGATTCATCTCGTTGTGTTCGTTCCATTGAGTTTCCACCGATAGAACACTAATCGAAGGAGTAGCAGAGGCAGTCGGAATACGGGCAGGATCGTCGTCCTAATCCGCTGCAGGAAATCAGCGAGAAGTAACAGGTAAGAAGACATCGAGGAGAGGGCACTCACAAGCTTGAGAACGCCGACGGGCTCCGTCACCGTGAAAGTCAATTCCTGGTTCCAGACCGGATTCAAGCAGCTTTTGATGACCTTCGTCTTGAGATACTGATGGGGAAAGAGGGAACAGCAGTTAGCTAGATTGAGCACAGATTCCGAAAGATCGGGACGAGCCAGGCAGATGAACAATCGGATTTAACAATCGGACGATGAAAATGAATTGGATTAAAAAAGCAGCTGACCTAATTGTTCCACTCATGAAGGAGTTCCCGGACTAGGAAGGAAGAGGAGGAGATCGAATAGGCAGATACGACCATAAAAAGAACAGGAGGGAATCGAATGTCTTCCAGCTTGAAGCGTATCTGGCTCTGAGGAATCTCCCCCCCCCCGGTGGACGATGTCCATTTAAAAAACTCACCTCAATTCTTACGGATGGGCTAGAAAAATGCCTCCGTCGTCAAGTTGGCGGAAGCCGACACGATTGCTCGACAATAAAAATAGAAGCCGAGTAGGTGTTGAAAGAGAGACCTACGACCGTATGATCCAAGTTACAGAGATACTGAGGTATTTCTCTATGTGAGGTCTTCATCAGCGAGTACTTTCTCTATGGGGGGACGCAAGACCAGTCACGGAGGGAGGGAGAGAGAGAGAGAGAGAGAGAGAGAGAGAGAGAGAGAGATTCACCTGATTGCCGAGCCGAGCCACCACGTAGGGATCGCTGCTGGTGAAATCCCTAATCACCAGCCTCTTCCCCCGCAGCACAAGCACCTTGAGTATCCCAATAACTTCCTCCATCCGGTCCCTTCCTGAGGTCAGGGAAACGGAATTGAGTGGGAGATGCTTCTCGGAAATCGAAGATCAAAACGTCGACGAACTCCAATGGCAAATCCCCAAGCACAGAAGCTTCACAGTCGGTGAATTCCAGTCTCCTCCTACTCCTGCACCCGAGGAGACGACTCCGAAAGGAATTCCAAGAGAGAGAAACACGGGACGGGAAGATCCCTGAGAAGATCATTGGAACCTAACGTTCCAGACTCCTCGGAAATGTGAGAATGGAGCCCAAGGTGAGCAGAACATACCTGAGAGCTATTGGGAACTCCGCCGTCGTTCTTCCTTCTTCCAGGGAGTTGCCGGGAAGAAAGAGTTCGGCGAGAGAGAGAGAGAGAGCAATGTAAGGAGTGGCCTCTTGACCGGCATCTGTCAATTGACGGTCACAGCTGGCCCCTCTCATTCAAGTCTAATCGCCACTCGGGAACAAAAGTCTAAATATTATATTAAAACGAAATATATTGATAAAAACGAAATGTGACTCGCGAGTCTAAAGCGGGATCCCGATAAGGGGGCCGAGTCAAAGTTGGACTGTCCATCACCCAAGGCGATTTCAACCGACGTTCAAAGTCGGCTCGGGAGTTCAAAGTCCGATTCCAAACGGAGAGCAAGTCAAAACCTTGACCCCGGGGTCGACTCCTATCCACTTGGTACAGTCTCCCCTCTGCTCCGGTGTTCAAAGTCCAGTTCCAAGCGAAGAGCAAGTCGAAACCTGGACCGCGGGTGAACTCTCTCTCTTCACTCTGCTCCGGAAAGGAGGCAGAACATAAGCACGGAGACGCATGAAAAGGGCAACCTTATGGTAAGACTGTAAATGATGATACATGCTTCTATCAAGGGAGAATACTCCCCGAGGGCAAGGTCAAACCATATACAATTGAATAAAGTCAAAAGATATGAGATTTCCCATGACGCTATCTACACCCCTCCTCCCCTTTTAAATCTTCTTCTCGAACTCATCGAGTCTCTTGACCCTCCGCATGGATCTCACCAACAAGATCAAGAAAACGCCTGCACGGTCAAACATCGAATAAAAGCTCATCAGGGTACATGATTTGACACCATATGGTTCAAACTAAGGGCAGGGCAAAAATAATGCGACGGCCAAGCTTAGGATGGAACCGCAGGTCGTGGACATGCTATGGATGGCAGATATCTCCACTTCTGGCAGCTGCATGAGGGCATGATATTATTGGTTCGGAGCAAGCTCATGCAGATATTTCCTGAAGCCCATTGGATGGGTATAAATGGAGGATATTTCTGTTTCTAGGAGTGGCAAGAGGCGGGAGAGGGTATTATGATCGGATATTATATGGTTCACACTAAGGAAATGATAGAAATAATCTGGCAAATAGACATGAATACCGGCGCCGATGAACGAGCCGTTCGAGACGAAGGGGTTCCCTTGGCTGCCGACGGTGACCCCAACGTTGAGGAGGGTCCCACCCAGAGCAGTGTAGATGGTGGCCATCTGCAGGATCGAGGCCTTCCTGGCTGCTCTCTCGGACTGGCAGAGGAGAGAGGAAATCATTGATCAAGAGGTCCCTAAATTTTCCTGACCTATTATTGATTTTCCAAATTTCTTAGGATGGGAAATATTTGAATGGTTACCTCAAGGACTCTAACTCGGAGTTTCAGGTCTCCTGCCTCGAGCTGCTTCACGAACTCCTCTATCCGTTGAACCCGGTAGGGCATTGAGATGGTCGAGTTTCTTGCCTGTTGGGAACAAGAAAAGATGTCGGCTTTTTTTTTTCCTTTCCCTTTTGGAGAGGAGAGAAAATAGCCCCGTTTTTCAGGGGAAAAAAGATCAAGGAAACCACATCACATGCATCTAAGGAGAGGTTAAAAAAACATGATATTATTCTTTTTTTTATTTTTTGAGAATGTAAACGATTATTTTGGGGGGGCAAGCTTTGGACTTGTCCTGACAATGACTTGTCAAATGTGGAATTATTTTGGGGAGAAAAATAACCCAGTTTTCATTAAAATCTTCAAGGGAACCACATCATTTGCAACTTAGAAGAAGTAAAAAATTAAAGTATTTTGTTTGTGACAGATTCAGACGTCAGGAGGACGACTTGCCAAATGTGGATTTTTTTTCTGGGAGAAAAATAATGATTTTTAATTAGAATATATCGAGGAAACCAAATCATATGTAATTCAGGAGAGGTAAAATAAAAATAAAAAATGCAAACGAGCTTTTTGGCAACTTCTTCAAACTTTTCAAAGATGAGGACAAACAGACATGTGGAAAACATTTTGGGAGAAAAATACCCAAATTTTTTATCTAAATATGTCTAGAAAACTACATCATCTGCAACTTACAGTTTTATGTTAGAAGTGGGCTTCAGAGTTTTCACAAGGATGAGCCGCCAAACGTGGCTAGGGAGTCGTAATTCATGAGATGAGGAAGAGGGCTAAGAGAAAAGCAGCAGGAGACCTAAAGTCGGTGATAATTTCTACACAGATGTTTTCAGGAGTTCTTGCTTTCAATAGAGAAAGGAATGAGGAGAAGATGAAATGTTTTAGGCTCCTGAAATAGGAAACTCTCGCTCAGAGGTCTTCCATCTCTTCCCAGCCGCATTAGGCAAAGGAAGAGGAGAAATAATGCTTAGAGTTGAAGCTCATCTCAAGCTCATGTGTTTTTCTGTCTTTTAATGGATATTTTAGAAACAATGAAGGGGAATGGGTAAGAGGAAATACATCGTTGGCTTGTCTTCTTAGCTGGTCAACGATTTCTGTCCCAGGACGCTGCCTCTGTCTTATGTCCAATAATTCCTGCGATTCAAGAAAAGTTACACGAAATATTACCACATAAAGTAATATTACGTTTCAAATGAAGATTCATGGGGATTTGTGGAGTAAAAATCATTCAGGAAGAAAGACAAACATAGAAGGTCACCTGTGCATAAGGCGCAGCGATTTTTACAAAAGAAAAATCCGGATCCAGTATGTACCCAATTCCTGTGAAGCGTCATAAAGAAGCTTTTCAAAAGAAAAAAATTGATACCGCAACATACATGAAGCTTTTCCTTCATACTTGCTTCTATTGAGCTAGAAAGAATGGTCGTGAGAAATGGACGATTATATATTGTTCTAGTTCCTTGGATGCTATTCATTAATTTTACAGACAGGCACCTAATAGTCCTGATAATTTCACCGAAAAACCAGTGTTTCAATGGAATTACGTAAAAAGGGAATCAGTTGCTCATATATACTCTCAGGGCATCAACACATTGATGGAATCACCTTTAAAAAGAGCAGGCACGGATAGAGAGATCAGTGAAAGAAATTAACATAAGGGCTGCACCTTCAAGTGTGGAAAACGCTCTTAAAACAAACGTAAACGTGGCAGGGAATCGGAAAGGCTGATCCGTTGCGATTGCGAACAAATCCTGCATGAAGATTTTTAAACATTCAGTGATGCTGCAACACATCAAAGGATTGGAAAACATATCCAAACGAATACTTTTTTCTGAGCGAGATCTAGGACCCACCTCACCAATTGCAGCCAACGTCTGCTCTTGGTTTGGTGTCTGGTTCAGTAAATTGTCCAAGAAAAACTGCACAGATCTTCTTACCTAGAAAAGAAGACGACGCCAGATATAGAGCCAGTTATTATTCTTATTATTATTTTTAATATGACAAGGGAAAAACAAACAAGAAATACCAACCGCAGACATGTCTCCTGTCGGTTGTAGAGCTCCAAGATCAATGAGGCTTTGCATAACCTGCAACAAAGCTAGCCTCTTTAGCAAGGTAAAGCAAGAGAGGCTTGTCTCCTCAAGTAGAGGAATTCGAAATTCATATCATATGAAAGAATACTGTTTCTCCTCCATGGTACGTAAATTTTCAATCCACAATAATGAATAGTTAATATACTGAGGGACATTTCATAGAGCTTTTCGTGCACCAGGTACTTTTTGAAAGCAGACCTTTAGTAACTTTAGCCCAACTTCTATTCCATGACACACATTTTCTACGATCTTTACACAAAAAAGGCACGACTCAAAGTATTCAAAGCTTGATTTCGAATTCCATAATTATTTGATATTCATTCTCCAAGGAATTTAGCATTCTTTGTTAAAAAAAATAAATAATATTAATAATAACATTTAAAGCATTCAAAGCTGTATGATAATAATTATCCGACCGTACAGCATGCCTGTGGAAACACAGGGCAGAAGCTAATCAGAATGAACATAATTTTGTTCAATATTTATTGAAACACAGAAAAAGTAAATATGGGCCATAGTGAAAACTTCATATTGTAGAAAACCAAACGGAAACTAGATAGTTGGAGCAATAAACCTTCATGGTGTACCTTTCTTGCGTCCTTCTCATAAATAGCATAAAACAGTTCTAACAGCCTTTCCCGAGTGAAAGATTTTATATCTCCCATCATTCCAAAGTCGTAGTAGATGAGTGATCCATCAACATCAATAGCGAGATTACCAGGGTGAGGATCAGCATGAAAGAAGCCAGTCTTCAGAATCTGAATTTAGTAGATGTGAATAGGATGAACCCCAAGAAAAAGTCAGATTCCCAAAGGGATAAATCAGAGATGGATTTTCATTTTATTACAATTTCTCAGCAGCATCTAATTTCAGCCTCAATCAAAAAAATGTATGCTTATCTCAGAGACATCACTTAAATTTGAAGATATTTGATGGCATGTCAATATATACAGACCAAGCTCTCAAAACATCATTCTTTGTAACCAAAAACAATGGCTCCTCGGTGTAATCTTTATTGTCGCATGATACATGGCTTTTTAGAATTTCTAATTCGAAAAGTGCTAGAAACTCACATATAGAAAAGAAAAGGAACAGCATTGAAAAGAAGTACGATCTATCAGCATTCATTTACTTTATGAATCATAAGCCACCATGAAAACACACTTTTTTTAAAAATCGAATTTTCTGAAAAAATGGACGTGAATCAGTTAACAGAAGGGAAAAGAAACAGTACATTGTCCTCATTGATGACCAATCCAAATATACTTTGGTCAAAGCCGCTGAAACTTCATGCAGCATGAAATCCTAACAATGATATATATACATATCCTTTGTAACACACCCTACACCATATCTTCTTTATATAAATGCATCATCATGTCTTCTCAGAATATCATGTCGAGGCAGCACTCTATTATCTTCACTCATTGAAGAATTGAGTTTCAGCCTTAGTTTAAGATGTGGACTAAGGCAGATAAAATCAACATTGGATACCAGGTAACCCGAGTTCAATCCCAAGTTAGACCAGATGGATTTAGTAAAATAACCAATGAAAGGGGAATGGACTGATGTTCATTAAAATATATTTTTGATAATGTACAAGATATTAATAACATTATGTTAAAAATTACGAATAAGGGATTTTCTAAAAGATCTGCTGGCGGTGTGCTGTAAGCAACAGCAGGAGAGGAAATTAATGATTTTATAATATCACTTTTTATTTCCTTCTTTTTGTGATGCTATTTCCTCTTCTTACCGTTCTGTCCATTGCAGCTTTCAACCTCTTTTCCTATTTCCTTACTTTTTCCTTTACCACTTCTTTGATGACGTGGATGCTAGAAACCTCAGCTAACTTTGGACGACATAGGCTAACTTGGACAGAAATCAGGACCCTGCAACCCTCCAAGTCTGGCATCATTGGGGAAATCCCAATCTCCCTTGAAACTGAAGGGAAAATCTAAATTGACTAAAATCGGGCATACTAGAATGGATAAAAGGAGAGAATAGTTTTGATAAGTTTTAAAGGGAGAAAATAACCGGAAGGAGTATAAGATCATTTTATCTCAGAATATCCTTTAGGTAAATATATCAGACGTGTATTTTCCAAGTCTTAAAAATCTTTTTTTCTTTAAAAAATGTATATTTTGGTTTGACTTCAAATTGGCCAATCCAAGTGAGATAAGAAAGTAAACAGCCCATTAGATTTTCTTCTGCTTCTTACAATTTAATATATTAAATATGAGATATTTAACAGACCTGCAACAACCAGTGCGTAAGAATAAAAAAACCAGCAAGTTCAAAAATGGAGGAACCTCTCAATTCTGGTTCTGAAGTAAATCTGTAAACTCTTGGATATCAAAAATCTAAACAAAATTTTACTCCACTTTTCTGTCTGAAGCCATTGCACAGGCTGCTTAATCTGCTCTCCATTGAGTCCCAGGTGATTTAATCTGTAAATCATCATCCTCAGCCACCAGGACCATCCTTTTGACTTCATCCTGAGAAAAAATATGTATCTGTACTAATATGCCTTTTCCAGCGCCACCAGAAAAGTTTCTATGTTCTTATTGCCCACATAAAATTGAGCCACAACAAAATATCCTCTAATTTACCACAGAACGATATTCTATGAGTTTCTGCTAAAGACTCATTCTTGTTTCTCTTTCAGCATCGTTGCTTTTCTTTAATTTCACGCCAATCTTCTCCTGTGCCCTATTGTACCACATCCAAAGTATTTAACTGCACTCACACAATACTTGGCCAGCATTCCCTATCGCCCAAAGCCTTTAAAACATAATAACAATACAATGACATTTCCTAGAGAGAAATTCACTAATACGAGCAACTCATTGTACACGACTGTTCAAAACAGAAATGACATTGTTGCTGACATAAAAATCAGATTGTAGATACGAAGTTTAGCCAAAAGAAGGACAAAAAGTCCCTTACTTGTATCAGGTATGACTCTATTGCACGTGAGGCAATCAGAGAGCGTTTGTATCCCCTCGCATCTAGCAACTCCAAGTTATTTATCTTTATTCCTGTTTTCACGAAAATATGCCTCAATTTCCGCTGAAATAATCTCTAACAGATGGCAATAAAGCCTAAAGACGTAGGGTAAATTCATAGAGAGTAAGCTGTTCAAAAGCATGATGAGCGGTCCACAGGTCAGATATCCATTGATTAGGAAGTAGGTAAGGAAAAATGATCTAACCTGGAACGTACTCCAGAGTCAATACTTTTGTAGAGGTATAGTCCCAAATAATAAGCTACAATATAAGGACACAGAATTAAATCCTGGAATAAGATTCTTTATATGAACATGGAAAGAACACTAGGTTCAAAATAAGCGTACTCCACGCTCAGCTGATGTCTTCATTGATTATAAAAATGAAGGGAAAAATATGAAAGAGAAAAAAGGAGTTTTTCTTGTAAGAAACTTACTGGCACGCGGACCCACTTTACATTTCGAAAATCCCGGCGGAATCTGTCAGCATTTTTCCCTTCATTGATATAATCAATTTCTTCGTACAAAATCCTGAATTTTTTTAGAATGTAACAGATCTCAGCGATGAACAATGTCCATGTGAGTCATGGGACTGAGCACAACTTAATGGTACATCAAAACTAATAAACAAAGAAATTGGAAGACAAACAACAAGTGGACATTTCATACATAAACATACAACTATTTCTATTTTTTTCCCGTGCAAAAACAATACAAAATCTAAAAAACAAAGAGATGTTCGTGAGCAGGCATGACAGACAAACATATAAAGACGACCTTTTTACTGGTTTATAAGTAAAACAAAAACAGAACGCAATAATGGGTAAAATCTGCATAATTGGTAAAGGGAAGTGCCTCAGCCAAGCAAAGAATGTATTTTAGAAATTGGGTTAAAAAAATGAAACAAAAAATTTCAAGCAATATTTTATGTCCGGAAATGTTTAATACTATCTAAAAATCTCATAATTTTGCAGACTGAACAATGCAAGAAATGACTGGGATAATTTCTATCAAATATTCAAGAGCTCCAAAGTGACCACATAATGGTTAATTAACATGGAAACGTCAGTGGCCAAAGAAGATATTTGATATGTGAGGCACTGATCATAGTGCGAGTTTTCCTTCTTCCACGAGAATACAAACCAGGCCCCAAGAAAACTAGAAAGGATAAAATAAAACTATATATAAAAGCAAAAATTTAAATGCACCAGCAAGTAGAAAATTATTCATACTCAGATTGTCGCTATTTACTTTGGGACAAGTTCTCATTATTTGTTCAAAACTTCAGATTAGGGTCCCAAAACAAGGTGTTCACGATGAAAATCACCCTCTGTGAGATCACTACTAGCTTTCCAGACCTTTTTTAAGAAGGAAACTTGAGATTATATTATTTTGAAGCTCCATATTCGCTAAAAGAAATGTATAACCTCTCAAATCACATCTTCTGGGTGAGAAATCCTTAACCTTCTTATGTAGTACCACCAAGCTAGTGCACTTTGGCTCAAGCAGTAGCATAGTTAACGGAAAGTAGTGATAGTGAAGTTAAAAAAGGAAAACATCTGCAGAACAGTGATAGATAAAGCAAGAGAAAACAGGTGAATGTAGCTTACTTGGAGCATTCATCATATATGCCGATCCAATCCCTTGTAGGACCTCCAAATGTTTCACTTCTCTGGAAATATTCCGCCACAAGTTTTAGATTCCCTACACAGAAAGGGGGTTTAGGAGAATAAGAGAATGCATCAATTATGATTCTCCGAACCTTCAGACTATACAATTCCGACTCATGATCAAATTTGTTTACTAGTATGACAAGAAGTCTAATCCGAAAAGGGTAAACAATAACAATAACTCCTTTAGTTTAAATAACCTCCTAAAAATCCCATATGGCATTCAATAACCTCCTAAAAAACTAGGCATTAGAACCTAATCACATGTTTCTTCATAAAAAATATAGCGCATATCTAGAAGGGCAAGATAAAGTGTAGCAATACTATAGCCACCAGAAGATACTAGTTTTGCATTGTTAATAGCATGAAATGTATGTCGGTGACAAATGTTTTAAATTCTATAAATGAATGCAATCGTCGATCCATGCATTTATTACTACCTTGACTTATGCCCCCATTTCCTTGTCGATAGTATCCACCACATCTCTCCATAATTACAGATTAATTTGATAAAAAACGATTATTTGTAGTCCAATTTATCTTCTCAGGGTTTTATCTGGAAGTACAATGTAGTTTCTGGAAGTATAAACGCAGGGTCGGGATAAAATAGGTTTAGAAGGTAGTTTCCTTCCCTTTGGTGGTTATAGTTCCTTTTAACGCTATTACAACTATCTCCTTTTTCTTCTACTATGGTCAGAAGATGTGGACTGATTTCTGAACTAGTACCTTGGGCAATCTCGCCGTTTGCCATCTTGAAATCAATTTTGCTAAAACATAATACACATCCATATACTATCTTGTCATGTACAATGTTGGCCTAACAAGATTGTATTAATAATAAATGATCCTCGTATTTGAAATCATATAAATATATCCATGCTCATAAAAATTGATTTATAAGACAGGACAATATATTGAGTATAAGTGCATTTAAAATTACAAGACGTTGTGAGAGGTATGACTAAAGTGAGCATGCGCTAAATTATACTTCATAGTTTATTAAACGTCAAACTTTCTTGAAAAACAAGTGTTCGGCTTGACACTACTCGTACAAATAAAAAGCAACGTCAATCAACTAGAATACCTTTTAGATAAATTCTACATATTCTAGTTAAATGAGAACCTAAGATAACATCATTCAAACCAATTTTTAGAAGCTTAAGCACGTGAAAATGTTTAAATATGGTGTGATATATTCTTCTATCATTTTGAACAGAATATAGAGTAGGTATTAAAAGCTCCCTTACGTAGATCAATATCAAAAAGTTTCTTCAGACCAGGCCTTTGAACTTTTACAGCTACTTTCTCTCCACTATGCAGGATTGCACGGTGCACCTAAAGAAAGCAAAACAAAAACTCCATCAGGGAATATGATAATATCTATAATTACATGGTAAACTAAAGTAGGAAATCTAGGTAAAATTTCATTGATGAATGAAGCAGAAATGGGCAAAAAAATAAAAATAAATGAATATCAATACGATGCTCTTTTCAGATATATGTATATAGCATATTCAACATCATTCTAGTCCATGATGCTGCGATAATCTAATCAGTATAAATGCATTGACAAAAATGGAGGCTCAATGGATGAAATACTTGGGTCTCTCTATTTAGAGCTGTGACTTGACTGGTCGGTAGTATCAACGTGTGTCTCCAGTTCAAATACCGATTGTACAACCAGGCTTTTGGTAGTGATTTTAGAAACCATTAAGCAGAATACATGCACATGTTTATTCATATCAGCTTGATATGATGCAGTCCTAACTCTGCATTTTTACGAGGCACATATTCAGCACTAGTTTTTAACTCTATAAGAAGGAAGCACAATACCCGTGACATCATTGTCATGTCTCCAGCTTTCGTTTCTAAAAATGTATAAATGGTTTGATCGCTACTCAAGCAGACGACACCAACCTACTAAGGATCCACACTGAACGCATTCTACCCTTTACCGAACCATAAATTTCTTTTGTTTCACATTTCACGTAGTAGTCTACTAATGAAGAATAAAATGAACAGCATTAAAACGAAATTTTAGACTATAAGAGATCAAATATGAGGAAAACTTGGAAAATTTGGGAAAGGTCTTCTAATGTAATAAGAACTGATTAAATGCAGTCAAACACCTGACCAAGACTAGCAGCAGCTATTGGTTGATCTTCAAATTCCTTGAAAAGTACGTTTATTGGAGAGCCCAACTCTTCTTGTATGAAAACTTTCGCTTTTTCAGGTGAAAATGCAGGAACACGATCCTGCATTGTCAAGAACAAAATATTTCAGTTCAATAGAGTACGCATGCATTCTCAAAGACTGATTCACAGCTGGTGGCTCTCCCCTCAACTACCATAGATTGTACAGTTTTTAAGATCAACCCCGTAGGAAACAAAACTATTTCGTAGAAGGGTCCTACCAGATGCATAAGACTAAATGGGCAAAAAAAAGAGAAGAAAAGCAGACGACCCGTAAGCATAATATTAACCTCTCAGGTACCCTCCAATAAGTTCTCTTAAGATATTTCTCAATAGAAAAAATACTTCAACACAAAAGCGATATAGCGTTTTGTATGATAGATAAAAACATAATTTACAAGAATAGAAGTTACCTGCAACTTTGCAAGCTCGTCTACAAACTCTCTCGGAAACAGGTCGGACCTTGTTGATGATAGCTGCCCTAATTTTATAAACGTTGGACCAAGCTGCAAAACTTTTTCCCTCAGCCATGAGGCAGTTCTTCGCCTTCTGGTTTTCTTCACAGCAAAAATAATAACACAGAAAATTGGAATAATGTTAGACAGTTAAATGTCCCATGTGTCAATAAGAAGTGCAGAATGAAAGTGACCATTTCATCACATGAAACGACCGTAGGACCATTTAGGCACCAAAACAATATTTTCCTGACATGAAATAGGACCCATATTGCTAGCAATTTATTTACGGTTACGTTAATGTCGCAATCAAGCATTGGGAACGAAATTTATGTCTCGCAAATGAGAAATGGCATTGCGAAAAGGAATTACAGGAAGAAAATTGTGCAGTAAATGAGAGCTGAGCGTGAATTTCCTTAATGTACCTGCTTTTCTTCAGTAAAGCCATCAGGATACGCCCATTTTGCATTGTCAGCCAGAATTCGCAAACGAAAGGATAGCACAAAAGTCCATATATCGAAAGACCTTTGCCATGAATTGTAATCGTCTTTGGCCCAGCTGAAATTTTGATCTGAGGGAAATACCCTAAGCTCCTCTGCAAAAGGGAGTTCTTTTGAGGGTCCAGTTTTCTGAGTCTTGACAAGAGAAGAACCATTACTCTTCCTTTTCACTAGACTTGCCCCATTAATGGGTAACCTCGAACCATTTATTGGCGCTCCGTTTTGAGAAGAGAGGTCCTTGCTCCTCGTTAACTCTCTCGTTGAAACCATCTTTGAAGCCCGCCCATTGGCTGCAAACCTTGCTGATTCTGTCTGTTCTCCTTGTGCCCGCAAGCGTAAAACTGTCCTTGTCTGAGAGGAATTGTGGCCGTGGATATCCACCTTAGAGAGTTTCATGTTGGGGACAGATGCGGCGAAACTGAGATCATCAATTTGCCTTCCCTGTTCAGTTAAATCAATGTTTTGGCGATAGCAACCTTGTGAAGCAAGCACAGCTGCCATTTTAATTCCTGAAATTGGGACCGAAAAAATTCCACATAGCTTTCAGCATGTGGATTTACTCGAAAGGAAAGCCAAGTGCAACTGTTTTTCGCGTTCTTTTTCATTCACACTAAAAAAAAGAAATACAACTGAATAGAACAACAACCTCTATCCCAAGCATAACACAACTAAGAAAACGAGGGCAGTAAGAAGTTACACATTCAATCCTAACTAATGATAATGAAGGCTCGCATTTTTTATCTTTAACGTAAAACGAGTACGAAAACGGAGTAATGGATTATCTCATGCCAACCGATAGTATCACGTTAGTATGAAAACACAGCAAAAGAAGTCTTGCATCTCAGTCTACAGCATAAGACGCGAACAGAAACGTGCTAATACTCACTGTGACAACCATTTTCAAGAATCATCAGATCCAATTCTTATTTTATACTCATCACACTTCCGTAGTCCATCGGAGACAATCAAATCCACAAACAGGGAGAGGGAGCGCACTATAAAGAAAGAATCTGATCACCTGAAAAATCCTCCCAGACAACCGAGCACGACAGGAACACCTAGATCAGAGCTCCTGCCGAGCCCTTCCTCTCCTTCGTTTCCTATAAGCGAATCCGTCCCGGCATTGAGCACTACCGATCATTGTCCCCCGTTTTTTGTGGTTAAAACAGGAAGGTTCTTGCTTCGAGCTTTCGGCTGCTTCGTTTTTTTATAATAAAACCCACATAAAAATAATTTATTATAAAACTATGACATACAATCAAAATATATGCAGCGATCCGTGACAACCTGGCCCATCGAGGGGCCTTTCTTACATCATGAAGAGTTTATGAGGTTGTTTTATAATAGACAAGATATTTTGGGAAAATTTTCAGAAAGCCCTTCACGTACCGACCACCACGAATGGCCTCCGCGGCCCTTCCGCCAGTTCGTCCGTTGACGGCCACATCGTGGGACTGGTGTCGTGGCCTCTTTGGCGCCGCCAGGCTCCATGTGGCCTTCCCTGACATGCCACGTGGATGGTCTTCCATTAAAAAAATCAACGGGCCAACGTTTACACCCATGTTGAGAGATGGGCCACGTCAACGGGTTCAGAGAAAGCCCAGAAATCAAATTCAAGTGGGCCCAAGGCCCCGGGCTCACCATTCCATGCCCCACCCACCAGAGAGGGAGAAAGAGAGAGAGAAACTTGGTCATGCCCTAGCCTTCTCTTGTTGGGCTTAATTTTGAAGCCTAACTAGGGAACACCCAACCTCGGGAACTGGCTTAGCCGAGGCGTTGACTATGCTATGTACAGGACTGTCGGTGGTGATGTGGCACCCGAAGTGGCTGCTAAGTTACCATAGTTCCTCCATTTGAACCATCTCATGATGACGTTGACGTCTTTTTTAGTATTTCGTTCGTAAAAAATAAGACTTTTTTTAGAGTTATGTTCAATGTTTGCAAATTTTTATAAAAGTCCAAAAATTAAATGTTTACATATTATTGAGACTTCAAACTTTTTACATATTATCGAAATTAAAAAGTTCTTGCAGTTTTAATTCTGAAAAAATAATTGTGAAGGACATTTGTTCAATGGCTCATTAATATGGCACCCATCAAAATATTATTTTTTTCCCTTCTTGCATAAATAAAGAGACAAAAAAATTGTACCAAAAATAAATAAAGATTAAGAAAATTATGTGGCACTTGGACTAAAAATCCTGCATAGCCAATCAACATTTTTTTTCCCTAAATGTATGCATAAAATCGAGATCAAGGTCATGATTTTATGCCCTAATTTTTTATTTTCCAAGACCATGATCTCCTTGTCGTTGACTTAGAGATCTCAAACATATCAACTAGGCTGGATCCAAATGCCCTGTTGGGCCACGTCATCCTTCAATATGACTTTCTTGCCTGCCACTATTAATTAGTTTGGGTATCTCTAGAGATGAAGATGGGGCAAATGCTCTAGAATCTAGATACATCCGACCTTTATTTTCCCATTCTAAGGGTTCAAAACCTAGTTCACAAAAGCCCACCTTGCATGGAAATTGATTCTGCTAGATGTTGGTGATAGAGAGACGACTCATGTTCTTGGGGTGATCCTCTCTCCAGTTTCTCACTCTCTCACGGAAATCACATCACAGCCATGGACTACTGGAAATCTCACGGCAAAGCAAGTGGGAGGTGCTGCTACTGAGCTCTGCTCACTGGCTCAAGGGCTTCAATCATCACCACACTGTTGCCCCTGATAACCTGCCAAGGCAAATGCATCGCCAGGGTCAATATGGCAAGACCGCGAAGAAGGGAGAGAGAGAGAGAGAGAGAGAGAGAGAGAGAGAGAGATAAATAAAGTGGGATGGGGAAAATGGGTCTGGGAAGCTTACCACCATCCCTATGTCATTCCTCTCATTTCCATTCAACTCAAGGGTGTTATCAAGCACCAGATTCATGAACTGGTCAAACCCACGGAGAGTGCCCACGACAGCCCGATTCGCATTCAGCTTAACTGCAGAATCACAGCACATGTTTTGATAAATCAGCAATATCCTAGGCAATAAAGCAAATGAGAATACTCAAGTTCACAGTTAATACGACATGAAATTGAGGAAAACCCTAATACACTCAAGATAAAGAAACATGAGCCTGCACACTGGAGAATGGACTTTCCTATTGAGCTGACAAAATAAAGCAAATTTGTGTATGTTTCTAAATAGCACAGACATCCGGTCTTCAATCAATTTTTCCAGATGGCACAGTGTCATTGGATCCATTGTGAACCACTAACTTCCCTCTCAAAACAAATTTGAGGCATACATACTTTCAGCTAAATATATTTTTGGACACTTTGATCCATAAAAAACTTCATCATGTCCCATTGAGAAATCAGGATTGAGAGTTTTGCATGCAGATAGGCCGATAGATATGCATTTTGAAACGATAGAAGGCTTGTTGAATAAAATACATAAATGATGGTTAAGTATGAAAAATATTTTAATGAAGATGCAACATAGACGGTAATTAAATCACAAAGCCACTGCTGTAACCCATGAAGCCTCCCTGTCATCGACCTTTTACCAGAATCTAAGACACAAAGCCATATATGCATACTTAGGCAATAAACTCTCTTAAAGGGTATTTAGTAAAAAAAAATGAAAACACCCTCTGTCCCTCCCTTGCTTGGAACAGGACCTTTTGTTCGGACCTGATACTCAGGGTTAGCTAGAAAAGCATGTTACGCATCTAATAAAGAAAATACAACATAAAACTGTGGGCCTTCAATATAGTGGGTATGACAGAAGGCCAAATCAAGTTGGTTTAAAGGAATGTGTCGATTTCAAGTAGGTTTCGTGGTCCACCATGATAGGAAGATGATAGAGAATTCCCTAACTTAACATCACAGAAATTGGACCCTTTGTATAAATATCTCAAGGACAACTACGAGTTTTCTTTTTATCGAGGAGATGATAACAGGACCATAGTTGATTGAATAACAAGTAGTCTACATGATGAATGAAGCAAAAATTACCACAAGAAAAGTTAAAAACATATAGGCCTGATCACGTCTATGCAAGCACAATGGGACCTCATTAATGGAAAAAGCTCACAATACTTTTGAAAAACAACAATGATCGAGAAAAAAATCCAACATAAGAATAAAAGATTTACCGAAATTTTTTGGATGTTATAAAATATTAAATAAATATTTACCCAAATGATCTAAGCAATTCCAGGCTCAAAATCCAACAAATATTCTTCTTTTAGGATTTAACATTCAACTCATAAATGTAACGTCAAATGTATAAACAAGATATCTCAGGCTCATATCAGGTCTCCCAATGAGCCCCTAAGATAAATGTACCAAAAAAGGGCAGCTATTTTTTTCTAATATATCCTTCTTTTTTCAGCCTAGTATACAAACTATAAGCCGTGATGCATTAAAAATTGATGCATAATCTGAATTCTCTGAAGAAAAAATAAATGAAATTCGCTGAATGGTTTCTGGATAGACAGCTTAGTAGAATAGTTTGCACGCCATATCATACTGAATCAATAACCCAACTAAGAATGAGCAAGAAAAAAATCTCTTGGTTGACATTCGATAGAATCTACAACAATCGACAAAAAAACCCAAACTTTTAAATGATGACAAAAGATTATCCGTCTAATGTCTTCTTGAATGACGGCACATTAAAAACGTTATGTGAGATTAAATAGTGATAAAATAGCACCGAAAACGGTGTCTCAGAGCGCATTTAGCATACAAGAGAAAAATATTACAGAAAAAATAAATCTACAGTTTGATTTTTTCTACTTCATGTAAACTAGGTTCCTAACGCAGCGCTTTCCTAACCGGCGACAAATTGAAAAGGCAAAGAGAAAAAAAATTAAACATCTTGAAATGATCCAAAACGAGATGTACGCATGATACGAATGTCGACAAAATTTTCGTCGGCAGAGGTTTCTACATTCAATAACCTAAAGCGGACATAGTCATAAGATTCCCAAATTTCGTACAAACTCAGACACACTCTGCTATCACAAGGGAGAGTAGACATACTCTGGAGCTTCTTGTCCATGTACCTGTTTCCATGGCCAACCGAAAAAAAAAAAAACCAAAATGCTTAGAATAACAACGACGAGAAAGAGAAGAAAATCGGAACTACAGAGAAAAACCCTTACTTCTTCAGATCCGGTGGCTGACCTGACCGACTCATTGCGATGGAACCCGCTCGCCGCGAGCCCTGTCAAGCCAGAAGCCTACAACCTGCGGCTAGAAAGAGAGACCGGCCGCACGGCGGGGTGGAGAGAGTGGAAGATGACCAAAAGGAGAGAGAAATGTGATGAAACAGAGGCTGAGCCGACGGAAAGGTTTAGGTAGGGTTCCTTCGTGGCAGCCGGAATCGGCCGATCCTTAACCGGGTCGACCCAGCTGGATCGGCATCGTCCACCTGTCCCTTGAGGACCAACTAAGCAGAAAATTTTCACCAAACCGAATTAATTACTAAATATATTAATGACATTTTTGTAGTTTAACCCCATTAAATAAAAAATATTGATGGATGCCTATTTTTATTTTATTTAATTCATAAATACTGGCCCAAAAATCAGTCATATTATTTAATACCGATATCACCACAACACTGAGGAAATATAATATAAAAACAGGTTAAATATTTATTTTCATGTGACTATACGTTTGATATCCTGAAATTTATTATATTATTTTAAATATATTTATAACATTAATTGAGTATATGCTTGACTTTAAAAATAATATATTAACCTATTCGACATCATATTAACTAAAATAAAAAAGGCTTAAAATAATCCAGCTGATTTGCAGGTAGTAGAACGGAATAGCATGTACTTATATTTATAAAAAAATAATATAACCGTCTCTCTTCTCCCAAATATAGAATGAAAATTTCGCATATTTTAATTTAAAATATTTTCGGATGGAAATAATAAATAAATAAATAAATAAATAATATATTTAATAGGCGGACACAGGAGAAGATCTGGTCCGAGTCGGAAGTGTTCTTGTCCCCGGGGGGCCGTGTGGTTCAACTCCCCGCCGGCAACCTCCAGGAATGGCGGGCCGAACAGATGTTCGCCGATCAACGGGAGCTTTTCCCGTCCGGCGGCTCAGTCAAAGCGGATAGAGGCGGCTGGAGACGACGACGGGATGGGAAATTCCATGTTTCCTGCTCTATTTTGGTCATTTTCTATGCAGAGAGCGGACGCCCGGAGGGAGATCTGCGGCCTGGTGGACCAGTGGGGCGGATAAAACGAGGCTGAAGTGCTGGTAGATCGCGATAGTCATGGTCTGACACGTCCACGTGACTCCTGGTGTGTGGTGGTACGATAAGATGGTGGAAAAGGCTTCGAGGTGACGGCGACCGTCTCTGCCATCGGAGGGTGCCTGCGTTGTTCTGTTCTGGGAGTGTCGTCGCTCTCCGGCATCCCGTGATCTCTGTGTTGGTGACCTGCAAGGAGCGAGGTGAGGCATCTTCCTGCAAATATCTCGGCGGGTCATTTGGTTGGTCACATCTTGACGGGTGTGATCTCCACGGCCATGCAAAGCTCGTCGCTGGTCAATTTTGATCACCAGACTCGAGCCCATTGTCTGAATCTCCGCGTCCACTGCGTTCCTCGTTCGTTTGATTCGCACAGTCTGTCTTGTTTGCGCGCAAGATATTCCTAAGTTCGTTTTACGCTCTTTCTTTCCTTTCATACCCCTGGATGCGCGTTCTTTTTCCGATTGATAGTACGAGTAGCGTGCGGATCCTAGTTCTTACTATTTATAATGGGATCTTGATGACAACTCTTCTCATCATAGTTCATGAAGAACCCTGCGGCCTTTTCTTTAGAGGTTAATTATTGCAATGAATTCGTCTGCAATGGGTTCGGAGGTTCTCTTTTTTTTCCAGGTATTCTGTTATAAGTTTCATTTATTCGGTTCGAGTAATGCGGCCGTTTTCTCACTCCATTACAATTTATTTCTTTAAATTGTCCTTCGTTTTGTTTGTTTTTCCCCGAAAGCCGAGAGTTCTTTGTCTATTCTTGTTGTCCTGATTTTAAAGCATATCATATCTAATGGTGTTTAAAGGAGAGCTGACATCAGTTTTATTTGCAGATAATTTGATCACTGGAGAAGGCGCCTGGTTACATTTGGTTCTATAATGGCTCCTGAACTCGCTTCGGAACTAAAGCCTCGAGGTACTGGTGTCACACGATAGCAGTCCATAAACAAATGCATGCTTGCTTCTTTGAAGACCCAATTCTTGTCTAACTTGACTGCCATTGGACAGATGTCTGCATTGTTGGCGTTGCACGGACGCCCATGGGTGACTTTCTAGGTGCCCTTTCATCCTTGCCTGCCACCAAACTTGGGTCTGTTGCTATTGCATGTAAGATAATTTTTTCCTTTAAATCTTCTTTCTACACGTGTTTCTTATACCTTGACTTATATCCTACCAATGCCATCCAATATCGAATTGCAGCTGCTCTTAAGAGAGCTAATGTAGATCCAGCACATGTGCAAGAAGTTTTTTTTGGGAATGTATTGAGTGCAAATCTGGGACAGGCTCCCGCTAGGCAGGCTGCTTTGGGTGCAGGGATACCTAATTCAGTTGTATGCACAACCGTTAACAAAGTCTGTGCCTCAGGAATGAAGGGTGTGTACTCACTTCTGTGTTGTTCATATCAAATTAATGGAATCATTTGATATGCTTCTTGATATTTTTCTTTACAATTTGCCCTCATAGCAACGATGCTTGCGGCACAAACTATCCAGCTTGGCATTAATGATGTTGTTGTAGCTGGTGGAATGGAAAGCATGTCTAATGCACCCAAATACTTAGCTGACGCCAGGTCGGTATCGTACAATGCTCTTTATCCCTCATGAACTTCTTGCGTTTCGCCATTTGTGGCCTTATGGAGATGTCCAATCTATATCACTTCAGGATCCTCATGAGAGACATCAACAAGAACTATGATGATTTAACTGATGTATTATCATCCAGCATACTGTTCAGGTTGCACATGAAGTAGATGCGATTTATGCTTAGCAAAGATGATAAGAGAACTTTACTCACTTGGGTCCCCATTCATGCTGTTCTCATCTGAAAATTCTTGTAGTTTATTTTTTCTGCTCAGAAACAACTGGAATGTCTTTTTGATAAACAATTATTTTATGATGTAAATTCTTGGTAGGAAGCTCATATTGATATTGTTTTTTCAATATTTGCTCTTTGCTCTTCTGTCATTTTTTATGTTGAGCTTTAAATCTCGTGGGATTATTTTATCCTTGGGGCATTGTATTTTTTTGATTGACCAAATGTACTTAGATTGTACTTAGCAAGGGATGGGGAAGAATGTCATGCCTCCACCCTCTAATTACATAAAATATTATACAATTAGATGGTAGATGTATTTTTCTAGATGAAGGCTTATTTCGTATTGATAAAAGAAAATAAAATAGCAGTTCTTACTATCCAATCCACTTATAATATTACGAGACTAGTGCATGGCAATTTATCTTCCGTTCACCTAACTGATAACAAAACCTTGAAGCCTCTGTGGGCTGAGTAATACTTAAATAGCACACCATTTCGTTTGCGATAAGCAGGAACTTTCTTCTGCCAATCTTATATTTACCGATTTAAGTGATGGCATGGTGAAAACTTTGTTGGTAGCTTGGTTGGCATGTACTCATATTGCTTCAAGATTCTCATCAACAAATCTACCAAGTTGTATGCTGTGTTGAGGGATTGTGGTCTTATAATGTGCAAATTCGCAGTCACAATTTGGTTGTCAGTTCTCTGCCATGTAAATGAGACTTTAGGAAACCTCTCCCTCTCACAACTGGGCGAGTTGGCATGGCCTCGTCTGTAGCCATTAGTCTACGATATCATGGCTTCTGAATAAACTCACTTATTTACGGAGATCATCCATCATAATTTTCTTGTCATAAGAAATCATCTGATTGATATGGCTCCAACTGGGTCAACTTATGGTCCGCTTGTTTCTGATATTTGATCATTAGTCTTGCTGACGAACTGTGGTGCCTTCTCTTGTTCTTATTTTTTCATCGTCAAAGTGCTCAAAATAACTAGACTGCCATCCAAGGTAATGTTTGAAATAGTTATATCGAGGCTTTCTAATGAATGCTTGATATTTTCTTACTTATTGGGTAACTAGATGATCCTTGTTATCAAGATGTTTCACTGTGTCCCATATGTAAATTTGTGTTTTGCTGTATAAGTGGATAATTTAGTTGTAACAATAAATTGACAAATATTTGGGATTTGTACCATGTTTGGCCAATTGCTGCATATTTATTTAAAGGGACAATAAACGTCTCATGCAAAGGAACATTGAACTGTTGGTTGGCTTATTGTTGTTGCCATGTCGAGGAATAGTGCAGTCAGCAAAAGAAAAAGTAGCTCTCAGCATCAAATAAGCAAAAATATGATAATGACTATGAGTTATAACCAATATTTGCAGAAAGGGTTCTCGGTTCGGACATGATACTATTGTTGATGGCATGCTCAAAGATGGTCTCTGGGATGTCTATAATAATTATGCTATGGGAATGTGTGCTGAGCTGTGTGCTGACCAACATTCAATAACCAGGGAAGATCAGGTATGGTTTTTGGGCTTTCTTCTATGCTTGCACCTGTACATTCTCTGATCCATGTTAACATCTTTGAGTTTCTAGTGTTCGTCTCCTAATTATAAATATGTAGATCACCTTTAAAAGCCAGTGTATGACTTAGTTCCTGCTTCTAGAATTTGCCATAAAATCAATAGAAGAGCACACGAAGTACATCTTTGTTGTTTAACTGGGAGTTTTTTTGTGGTAACCATAAACACGGATTCAATAAAGTTTGCAAAAAATTATTGAGAAATGGATTAAATCTGAGTATCAGTATCCTTTTAAAAGATTAGTTTGTTGGATACCTCTGTATGTTTCATATTCCTCGCAGAGGAAAAATAAATGAGAGTCCCTTCTGCACTCACATTTTTCCATTGAAATTTTTATCCAATTATCGAATAAAATTGGGTGCAAAGTTTGATCAGGATGGACGCCATACATCCTTGAGTTGAAAACTCATGCCTTTGACCGAAGCTACATAAAATGGGGTGGAATGAGATGATGACAGTGAAGCCGGGTCAACTTCCAAGTTCAGAGGAGGTCATTCTTGTTGATTGAGGTTTAAAAGAGCAGTTGTTGTGTAATTCTTCCTGTTGAAAACCAGAATCAAACATGGGTTGACCTGTTCATATATTCAATTGTTGTTGATATCTGATAGTTGTCCCCATCAGCAGTTCAACAATGCATGGTAAAAAACGGCCATTGTTTTTCAAGAAAAATAAGTCGGATCTTGTTCCACTTCTTTTCAAGAAGTTTTGTTATCAGGTTTTTTTCATGATATAATTTATTTTCCAGCAATAGTAGTAAATTTTTTTTCACCCGGGATGAAACATATTTTGTATCGCTTTCTAAATGATGAACAGGTTGTCACATTTTCTTTTGTGTTCACATGCGTCCTCCATCCATGTTTCCTTGCATTGATGCGGGGCAATAGTTACAATTTTATGACCATGATGCCGAAATAGTGAACTGACCTTGAAATAGGGATCTGTCTAATATATTATATCTGCTTATATAGGACAATTATGCAATTCAAAGCAACGAACGTGGAATTTATGCTCGTGATGCTGGTGCTTTTTCATGGGAAATAGTGCCGGTCTGTCTTCTTCCTTTGCAATTGTTGAATAAGCTGGAAAAATATTCTCTTTTCAGCATTTTATTTAATAAAATGATCTGTTGTGCTCAGATTGACGTTCCAGGTGGTAGGGGAAAGCCATCAATAATTGTTGATAAGGATGAAAGCTTAGAGAAGGTAACGATATTTATGATCCTTTTTCTTTTTTAGTTTTTTTTCTATGAGTCATGAAATTTAAACTGATATTCATTTGATTTTTCCGAACCTCATTCCATCATTCTAGGGTTGATAGAAATAGTCTAAATAGCCTTATTTGCAGTCATTGTGTCATCAATCCTTATTTTTCTGCCGATTCATCTCCCAATTTGTTACTTAGGAAATGCAGCTATCCCACTTGACTGTTGTCTGGCAACCAAATGTTGCAAGTAGGATAAACGGTAGACAACAATTGTGGACTTGACATTATGCTCGACACCTCACACAAAGACAGACTTGAGGGGCTACTCTACGGATTCTAGCATTTACCAGGGTTTATGTATTGACACTGCTTTCTCTTGATGAACTAACGGCGAGGCATAGTCAGGATAGCCATAAACACGCCCTATCTAATGATGAGGAACTAATCAGTGAATTTTGAGGGGCCTTGTATGTCAGTCTATGATGATGAGATATTGTGGCAGCAACTATTTAACGTCCTCAGTTTTAATTTCCTAAATTAGACTGAATTAACTTTATTTCGTCCCTGGAAACTTTGTTTCATTCTATATGAATTTCTATTGTCTAATTAATATTCTTGCTTTTTAAAGTAAATGATTCTTTCTAATCATTTTATCTAATGCTGGTTCCCATTTCGAATGGCTGTTGTATGAGGACTACCGTTTTATTACTTTTATAAGCTTATCTAAGGGAGTAGGCTACTGAAAAGATGAATTCAGATTGTTTCAGAATTGAAAAAAATAAAATAAAATTGAAAATTAGCTGCCCTGAATGATAATAATGGAAGTTTAGACATCATTGTTTGTTAGCTTTCCTTGTCCATTTCTTCCCAATATTATTACGAGTCTTCAGTCACTTATTTTGCTTTCATTTCTTGTCAGTTTGATCCTGCAAAACTGAGGAAGCTTCGCCCCAGTTTTAAGGAGAATGGTGGCTCTGTTACCGCTGGTAATGCCTCTAGTATAAGGTAACCTATTTATGCATCCTGTCCTTTGTAGAACATAATAGTTCGGATTCTTTTTCTCTTTTATCTCATCCTGTGTCACACAATTTATACTGTCCAGGAGGGTGTTCTTATTATTTTCTGTAGAGTCACGAAGTTATTTGCATCTTGATGTAGCCTATTTGAGATGTTGGATCCACTTTGCACATCAGCTTATCATCTGTAGAGTTTTATGAAAAAGTGAGATCTTTGAAAAGGATACACCAAGTGCAGATTTCTGACTCAAGGGATCACGAGAGTTCATGGGGAACATAAGACAAAACTTTTATGCAGTCGTCTGCTGCGGATTGAGAAAATCAATGGAAGATACACTACTTCTGTGACAGAAGCTGATGTTTCGAACTCCTCACCCACTCCTAAAGGAGTTATTATTCTTCGGAAAAGTATATTCCTGGAACTCTAGGCGCAGGGTCCCGATGGAAACTTTTCGGGGACACTCTATTCATGGTTGGGAAAAAAAAAAGTTTTAGAATCTAGTTATCATCAATAAATCCACTTCCGAGTTCCTTGAATAGGGGACGCAAGAACCATCTATCCCTGGAGAATATCCTTTGCTTATCTATTTCTGTTTCATGAACTCTCATAAAATCAATCATCCGATGTTGCCTGGTAGAACTTCTGCCGAGTTCAATATCTTGTTGCCCCACTACTGTCTAGAGAAGGTTTTCTGTGTCTTCCATACATGGCCTGTGTTTGACAACTCACTCGCTTTATTGTGCCATTCTGTAAAACATAATCTATCTATACAATCAAGAAATTCGGATGAACTAATGAAGTTCTTTTACATGTTTTTCAATTTAGCTGGTTATTTTGTTCTTCCATTATCATGGAAGCTGTTACAGGTATAGTAGATACATCGTAGTCATATCATTTATTTTTGTTTTTTTTGCTTGTCATATTCCTTGGGCTTTGCTGTTCGCTCATCTTCTAGGTGTGTAATTTGCCTGCATATTTAGCTCCGAAATTTTGGGGCAAAACTATTTTGGCAATACTTGTCAGTCAAATCATGGTGTCGAATAAACACTTTCCTCTTTCAGCTGCCTATATCTTATCCTTCCCCTGAAATTCTAACGTGGGCAGTGACGGGGCTGCTGCAATGGTCTTGGTGAGCGGAGAGAAAGCGCTTGAGCTAGGTCTGCATGTGATTGCAAAGATCACAGGTTACGCTGATGCCGCTCAGGTAAAATATAATTTCAGAAATTTCAGCTCCTATGGTTTGCCATAAAATTTTGCCATATTGGGGTCGTATGACCGGGCACCCTGCAATCTCTTCAAACCCACCCCCTCGTCTTCATTCCTAAAGGAGCTTGGCCTTGCAGGCACCCGAGCTATTTACCACCACTCCTGCCGTGGCAATACCAAAGGCCATCTCCAGTGCCGGGCTGGACGCCTCGCAGATTGACTACTACGAAATAAATGAAGCCTTCTCTGTCAGTGACAAGCTTTCTCAGCCCTTCAATTGCTATTTTAGTGAACAGATATCTGACACTCGTACGATCTCTCTGGAACTGGAACTTGCCGATTGCAGGTTGTGGCTCTCGCAAATCAGAAGCTTCTCGGGCTTCCTTCTGTGAGCCCCAAAAACTCGTCCAGAACTCTGCTTCAAGAGACTGCCCGCTAGTTCCTCATCTTGCTAGGATTATATTATTTTATTGAATTCTTCTAATATTATCTTTTTGTCCCGAGATTGCAGGACAAGGTGAATGTGCATGGTGGGGCCGTATCCCTGGGGCATCCTTTAGGCTGCAGTGGAGCCCGCATTCTGGTCACGCTTTTGGGGGTAAGCCACATAAATGCATGCTCCTCACCTCTTTATTTAGGAAGTTTTCTGTATTCAACAGCCATCTTCCTGCTCTCGTGTTGGACGAGATGTGTGGGCACCTTCCTTTAAATAGAGCTCTAGTTCTATGCACATTTATAGCTTTGTCTTGCTTGTCCCGAAAAGGATAATTTTGGTGTCTTCCCATTCATAATTTTGTGATAGTTTGACCATCACAGTGATGTCTCCTATTTCAATATCGGACATTAGCCGAAGAATTTTATTCTTTATTTTTTATTTTTTATTCTTTATTCTTTATCCTGTGAAACAAAACTGTGCCATTTTTTCATTCACAGGTGCTAAGGCAGAGAGGTGGAAGATTTGGAGTTGCCGGGGTCTGCAATGGCGGTGGCGGCGCTTCGGCACTCGTCTTGGAGCTCCTCTAAGGCTTTTCCTTTTCCCTTTCTAGGTAAGATTGAGTTCATCTGCACCCGCCATGTTTCTCATAAGAATAACAATCTTTCTCATGCTGTATATTTATATATCGCTGATGGTTTCCAGCTGGTTGGAAACAATCGCCCATGCTTATTATTTCGCAATGTGAAAACTATATGATCGAATTTTATTATATGTATATTTATACATTTATTTATTTATTTATGTATGAATATTACATTATTTGATTCAATAGATGGACTAGATTTCTGGGCTATATACAAATCAAGTGAAATTTATGCAGCTGCTGATGGATGATTCCATGGTTTTATTTCTGCAGGGTTTCTATGTGATTTCGGACATTTACCATTTATGGATGTGGGTGGTCCTATTTTGTCACTTTTCCGTGAAAAAAAGGGATTTGAAGCGATTTTTTTATTATTATTATTATTTCCGACCATGAGGGCCAGCTCATTGGGAAAATATTCTCCTCATCCCAAGTCAACTCCTCCCCACCACAGCAAAGGGCAAGAAACCCTCCATCGGTGCAAATTGACCGCCACCTCCGGTCAGCGAAAGGTAGGGTGAAATTTCACTCAAGTCAGATTTGACCTCGTGTGGGAACTCCTCTTTCACTCTGTGGTTGGTATTCGTGAGCACCCAACATTACACGGAAAAGGGTGTGTGGTTGCGCTAGGGTTTCTTTATTATGTTAGGACATCTTTTTAGGTCAGAACGATCGTTGACCGACCGATCTTGACTTGGATCGCGATGGGCGTTCCTGGTGCTTCAATCTGACGATGTACGCCTCATCCTCATCGGAACCTTCTGGGATTCACACGCACACACTGGTCAACGTGGCTGTAAAAAGTTTGACTCCGGGTGGTCGCGCAGTGGGACTTCTCGGTCAACGGGTTAACCTAGGAATCATCCCCTGGTCAAGAGTCAACAATGGCGTCTATTTTATCTAAGAATTGAGTTACCAGCATCAAGAGTCCGGAGAGAGACCTAACCAGCTGGACTCTTCAGACCACCATCGCACGTGCGGAAGGGCCCACCGCACGTGCGAACCGGGAGCATCAGCACATATTTTCCCGTAAGAAAAGGACAACTAACTGTCCCACGCCGTCAGCTGTGCGCTGCCGACTCCGTCTGCCAGGCCAATAACTCCGTCACCGTCATCTACTTCTCCTGTGCGATATTTTGTATTCATAATAAATTGAGATTAAATAATACGACAATGGCTCGGTTCCTGTCCCCGCCCAAGCCCTCCCTTTTTTCTTTCTATACCTCTCCTCCGCTTCCTCTTCTCTCCTCATTCCTCTCTCTCTCTCTCTCTCCTCCATCTCTCTCTTCTCTCTGTGTCTGGTGCGTTGGAGGAATTCGGAATTCATGTCGGTAAGAAGGCAAAACTTTAGCACGTCTTTAATCAACCGATTCCCCGGCCTCTCGCAGTAGGTTTCTCCCCCTCGTCATATCTCCGGTGGGTGGATCCAATTGGGATCGGATAGCCGCAACGCCCTCTCTTTCTCCCTTCCTCCCTTCCTCCCTCCCTTCCCCTTATACGATCGGGATTTTCTAGATTTTGGGACGTCCCTCCGTGATTCATCCGAGTTATCCTCCCTTCTTTTGTCATTTGTGGATGTGCTGCTGTTTCTCCTTCTCCACTCTTCCCTTCCACGACCGTCTTCTTCTTCTTCTTCTCTCTCTCTCTCTCTCTCTCTCTCTCTCTCTCTCTCTCTCTCTCTCTCTATCTATCTATATCTACCTATATCTATCTCTATCTATCTATATCTACCTATATCTATCTCTATCTATCTATATATTTATTTATTTATTTATCTTTATTTCTATCTTTCTCTCTATCTATCATTCTTTGTGTTTATCTATCTATCTATCATCTTTCTTTCTTTCTTTTTATCTGTTTATCCATCTCTGAGGGATAGAACGGGGGTATGAATGGTCTGTACCCGTTGTGGGTGGCTGCTTACCCAGGTGGGGCTGAGTGTAGAGCGAGGTGGGTGGATGAATGATCGGATGGTAGGTAGATCATCAAGAGGAGCTTGAATGATTGATCAGTGACAGAAAGGAAGATCCGGCGTGATTGGGGATGATGATTGTTCTAAAGATATCGTGCTGTAGATGGGATCGGTGGGTGGAAACCCTGTGGGAGATATTGACGCGTCCGATGTGGAGTGGGGGACGGAGGAGGCTCGCTGTATGTGGGGGGTTATTCGAGTTGAGGGGAAGGGAAGCCTCTGAAAGGCCCTTCTGACTTCAGATCACGGTCTTTGAGGAGGAGGGAGGAGAGATCTTTCTGATTGGATTGGCGTGGAAACTTCAAGGGATGATTGGTGGGTCTGATTTTCTTCTTCTTTTTCTTTGTTTGGTTTCTGTTTTGACCCTAATAATGATGGTGGGGGGAAGGAATCAGGAGGAAACGAGGAGGAGATGGGTGGTGGGCAATGCCTAGAAAGGTTCTGGAAGGTCAATTTTTCGAAAGCTGCAAATTTCGGGTCTATTTTTTGAATATTATGGGGGCAAGAAATATGAGGACCAGAAATGGGAAGTAATATCCAGCCGACCTTCAGTAGGTGAGCTAATTGGTTGATTAGGCCCCGTACTTTGAAGTAGTCAATGAGAGAATCTCTAGCAGGGGTGCTGACTTCTCTGGGAGACGTAGTCAATGAGGACATCTTGGAAGTCCTGAAATCTGATTTCACAAGGGAAGTGAAGAGCTGAAGAATTTCAGGGGTGATTTCCAAATTGGTGATGGATTGTGGGTTGGAATCTGTCCAAGAGATTTAGTTTCCTTAGCGTCAATCAGTCCTTTTTGTGTTCATATGTTTTTTTTATTGCCACAAAAGATAAAAAATTAAAAGAGCAAAACACGGGCTTTGCTCTCTCGTTCTATATTTTTTTGTATGTCAACTCTTCGCTCTCTCACTCTGTGTGGTGAAGAATCCGAGTGATGATGGATTTAAGGCAGAGATCTAATCTCAAAATGGAAGACTGGGAGGCTGAAGATTCCTTCATCGAGGGGCTGATGGGGTTTTGAACCAATTTAGCCGTATACATGATCTCCACACTTTATGATTGCCCACAGCAATCTTGGAACTCCATTTAGAACTTTTTTTTTCTTCTGGATGTGGAATGGATGGGGAGATCAAAGGACTGCACTCAATATCCTGCCATGGGGGAGTTTCAAGAAAGCCTTCGTTCTTGAAGAGGCATGGATGGCGAGAGGGAAAGATGGCCCTTCTAGCAGAGAAATTAATTGGTGCTAAATATCTTTGGAATGGGGATAAGAGGAAGCTCTGGCCTTGACTTCACTCGACTTGTCCCCTATTTGGATAAATATTCTTCAGGCTGTGAGATCTGACATTGTTGAGGTACTGTGGATGGGTGTTCTCCGTACTCAATGATCCAGGCAACAGAGTTCTCAGACGAATTTTTTTTTTTTCTTGTTTTTTTCGATTATGTATTTACTATTCTTTTTTATTTATTAAAGTGGCTTTTTTGGAGCATAAAGGTTCGTATTTATATGATGATGATGCAAACTGGATAGATGGTTTATAAGCTTTTTATCGGGGGAGGAGGATTATCCACTGCCGTTTCTATTTTTCTTTCCATATAAATACTGCTGTAAAGGGGAATTCGAATGTTTTTCCCCCGCTCTACTGTCAAGCGGCCAGCTGTCCATGTTCACAGAGGTGGGTATGTTGGACTGGAATGATTAATGTGTGCTCTTGGACCAAGGATCGAGCAATCATAAGGCTTCTAGAAAACGAAGTTATGGGAAAATATTAATATTTCCCCTTCTCCCTTATGACAAAATCTTTGGTCGTTGGTGAAATCAGCGGGATCTTTCTTTCCGGTTTCCTCTATTATTAAATTGGGACGTGAGCATCTGAGCATTTGGGTCATATTGGGGCCGACTGATTCATAGTGGGACGGGGAATGACTAAACCGACAGTTGGACGCAATCTAAGCAGTCTGACTGCCCACCAAATGGGTTTTACGAACTAGATTGATCAATTTGGTCGGTCCAATCTGATTTAGATTGGGATTGGCTATGGCCATTATGCTGGATCAATTCAATCCTATGCACTGTTTGTGCCTCTTGAGAAGGAATGGCCAGAAAATGGACTCCATGTTACATTAATAGGCCACACTGGAATGCCTAAGCTTGGTATCTTATTCTCTAAGAACCCATACTGCTAGCATTTCTTTGAATATGACTAGTGTCACTAATTCCTTGTAAGTATTCCAAGTCTTATGACTTGTCGTAGACTTTGGGTTTAAGCGAAATAATCAGATAGATGCTCTTGTAAAGACGAAAATATATTTGGCCACGTATTTAGTTTCTCTATCCAAAAGATAAAAGAATGTGTTTAGGGTTTATTTTCTCTGTATCTATCGGTATTCATGCCCACAGATCCCCTACTATCCCTACACAGCACTGTCTCATCTGCCCCCTGTCCATCCCTCATTGTTTCCTTCGCTGTACCTTTTCATTTGCCAAATATAGAATTACTCCGCAATTGCTGCTGCAGCAGGACAAGGGTCGGCCTTTACCAAAGTTTGGCGAATGGGATGTCAACGACCCCGCTTCTGCAGAAGGCTTCACTATGATTTTCAACAAAGCTAGGGATGAGAAGAAGACAGGGGGCAATGCCCAAGGGACCGAATCCCCTGGAAAGGAAGATCGATCCTATAAACAGGGAGGATCCTATCCTTCTAAACCTGCTGTGAGTCTGCTAAAATTTCTCTCCATCCCCATTATACCATCCTGTGGAGTGTTTTCCATGAGAACTTCTTGTAGAGGCCTATTTCATTGGAATGTTTGCTGCAGTACAAGCTTAAATATGCAGACTGCAGTTTCTCTGCCTTTCAAAACTGCGGCCGGCTTTTCTAATGTGGATTGGTGTGTGGTGCACAGAAAAAATGGTTTTGCTGCATACAGGCGAGCCCTGCACGGTCCTAAGGGAGAGGTCTCTCCCCCTCACGAGCTACTGGTTCAACTGGATCAGCTATGGATGAATTTCAGTGATGCCAAGGTCAGTTGTTGGTTCTTGAGGAAAGATCTCCCTCATTGTGGTGTTATGGTGATGGAAAAATGATGTGGGAAACAAGTGTGGGGAGAATTACAGTCAATCGAACAGGAGTATTTATTTGTAATGTATATTTTATATACTTGAGGATTGTGATCAAGAGACCCACCTGGTTATTTCTCCTTACCTCGCTTGCTTTTTATTTTTTGGTGTTGGAATTGTTTGTAATGAAATTAAACGTGGTCTATTGTTTGGAGTCCATATGGTGGCGAATCAATGTACGGCTGAGTCTACACAGAGTTTCTACCTCAAATAGGCACCGCCAATGAGGGGAAAGTCAAAGAAGATCCGATCAGATTCGGAGAAATATGTGCAACAAGAAAGACGTAAACGTGAAGGGCACAGCGATGTCCATGCAAAGCCCGATGTGGCCTGAAGAAAATAGTCACCTATACTGTGAATGAAACAAGAATTGGCGGAATCGAGAAGGAGATCAAGTCAATTTTTGTTTCATTTACAGTACAGATGATTATTTTCGTCGGGAAATTTTGCATTGATGGATATGTACAGTAAAAAGGGCGGGTCAATGATCCTTGAAGAAATATATGCTTTTTCTTTCTTTCTTTCTTTTCTTTTTCTTTTTAATGGGGAAAAGTAGGGGGAAGAAGGTAAGAAGATCAAGTCAATCTTTGTTTCATTTACTGTACATATGGTTATTTTCTTTGGGCAATTTTGCATTGATGCATGTCTTAAGGGAGGGTCCATGATCCGGGAAGAAGTCTAAATATATGTTTTTTTTCTCCTCTTCTTTTTTATAGGGGTGGAAGTAGGGGGAGGAAGGTAAGAAGATTAAGATAATCTTTGTTTCATTTACAGTATGTGTGATTATTTCCTTTGGCAATTTTGCATTGATGCATCTCCAAGGGAGGGTCAATGATCCGGGAAGAAATTAAATACATGCTTTTTTTTCTCTTTCTTTTCTTTTTCTTTTTTTGGGTGGGGGAAGTAGTGGGAGGAAGGTAATAAGATCAAGCCAATCTTTGTTTCATTTACAGTACAGATTATTATTTTCTTCGGAAAATTTTGCATTGATGCATATCTTAAGGGAGGGTCAATGATCCTCGAAGAAATGTATGTTTTTTTTTTTTCTTTTTTTTTCTTTTTTGGGTTGGGCGGGGAGGAAGGTATGAACAGCAAGTAACTCACGCTTACTGGAAGAGTGAGAACAGAATCAACACCACTGAGTTGTTAAAAATAAAAAGCCCGTCCTCTCAACTCTTTATATACATCCACACACACACACACAGAGGAGCAGTAACAGTGGGGCTAGACTCAACAGCTCACTCAAACAATATGAAGGAGAAGCATTCCCAACCTATACACTGAGGGTGAGAACAATTTAGTACATGTGAATGATCACCTCCACGCTCTGAGGTATCAGTTTCCAGCTGACTTCAAAGCCCATCATCTAGTGGCGGAGAACTTCTCTCTAGAACACTGTTGGAATAGCAGGTTCTAGAGCAGATTTCTTCAAGCATATGCATGATTGGACGCCCGCATAGGTGAACTTCTCTCTCTATGACTGTCCAGATTTCTAGTATTTTTCACCTTTTGCATCATCGTATCCATGGTCGCTGACACATTTTCATTCACTGATTGAAGTACAAGAGACTGACTTGTGTACGGCAAATGGAGTATATGACAGGCGCTGTGCTGATTAAAACATAGCTCACTGCTCTGAGTGACAGGTCACCTGACTATCCTAGAATCATCTTCTTCAAGGCATTGCTGCATGGACGCCTCAAAAACCTTGTGCCCAGATAAATAAAAAGAGAAAATAATCTAACTGTGACTGCATGGGGTCTTCCTGGGAGAAAATCCAGAATCAATGGAAGAAAATAAGGTTTCTTTCTGTCAATTCTGCAATGTTTCTGTCAAATTGTTAGACTAGACCCAATCATGATCTTAGCCAGAAAGTGCTGGCGACTCAAGAGGAAATCAAATATGCATGATATTTTGCACAAATTCCGTACACAAGAACCATCACCATAGATTTTTTTTCTCAGCTTGTTTGGGTCTGCTTGTAACAGATGACGACTCGTCTATCTATCAAGGAAAAAAAATCAAGCTAAATCTCTCGGTTCTACTGTTGTTTATGATTCAGCATGACATAAAGCGAGCCAGACCTAAACTGTAACTCTCGCATAGCTTAGAAGGCCCAGTAAAATCTATGGAGGACTTCTCTGAGGGCACCCTATGGCGCCTGAACCTTCATCATTCCCGGCATCGAGATCAATGACTGCCCCCATCAGTTCAAATTCTTCCAGATACTCCGCCACAGAGCCCCGTTGCTTGATGACCAAGAAATGCTGGTAGAGAGAACCAGACTGGTTGTCACCGAAACGCTCCAGCAGCTGATGTCGCAGGTCCTCCCAGCACCTAAAGCAGTGGTAAGCTTCTCGGCGCTAAAGAGAGGGATTTCGTAGTTGCGGGCGCCATACCAGGGTTCGGTAAAGGGGTCCTGGTTGGACATGGCAGTTGCGTCCGGCCCCCATCGGTGCGACTGGAGAACCTCCAGTTGCGGTGCGAACTTGGACATGGTCTTGTTCGCTCCAAGAGAGTTGCCACGTCTCGCTTGATGTCGATAGATCCCGACGGAGTTCCTCGTTTTCTTTCTCCAAATGATCGACCTCATCACTTGATCTAAGCGGCAACTGGAGCTCGAGGTGGCCGGTCTCCTGAGGCTCTGGAACTCCAAACACAACTTCCACACCACGCCCAGGGGTTCTGATGGGGCCCACCGGAAGAGGAGGAAATGCTCCGAGGGAGAAGAAGATCGTGATCAGAGATGGAAGCTCGATCAGAAAACCGGAGAAGGAGAACACTCAATCTACTCTAGCTAACGACCGAATTAGAGATGGTAGATCTCCCTTGCCTCTTGTCCATCTTCCACCTCCTTCGTCTTCCGTCGGGGTCTTCTACTAGCCACCGCTCCGCGACGACCGACGGTGACATCTTCTTCCGGTGGTTAGCAGTTTAACGCTCTCTGTTAGTTGCTGTCTTATCGATGATGGGTTCTTGTCCGATAGCGGTTGTTAAGTCCTCGGGACCTTCGGCGGCGGGGATGTCCCAAGTCCGCCAGCGTCCCATCAGCTTTGCGACTCGGCTTATATGGAGGACACTGGCGGAGAAGGAAACGGCGAAACGAGGACTCGAATGACGATGAAGCGATCCTGGATGGTGAAGCGTCTTCTGCATTAATGGAGTTCTTGACGAGGGGTTTGCTCGCTGGCGGTTGATCTCCTTCGGAGCGTTGGCTTTCGGCGGACCTCGGGGAAGCCGTAGCGCGCCGCCGGCAGGCCTGTGCTCCCCTTCGCCGCTCCCTCCTCCTCCCCCACCGCCACCGCCACCTCTATGGAGCAGCGCTGCCGTCCTTGGGGTCCTAGAAAATCAGACTCCACCGAGCCTCCTAGCTCCAGCGGCGGCCTTCCCGCCGCATTGCCCCGTTATAACAGAAAGCGACAGAGCGAGAGAGAGAGAGAGAGAGAGAGATTCATATTTACCTCGTCAGTTTTAGTAATTACATTACAGTCCATATGACAAACCATTTTCCCGCCGCGGGAAACGAAACGGCCGGAAGGCCAAACGGTCACAAATGGAACAAGGGATAAGTCTTTACTGCCGATGAGCTGAACCTCCCATTTTCTAGGGCCCGGGAGGGGGAGAAGTGGGAGCATGGCGTGGCTGGCCTCCTCTCTCTCTCTCTCTCGCTCCCTCTCTCTCTTCCCCTCTCTGTCTCTTTCTCTCTCTACTTCCCATCTCTCTCCCTCTCGTTCCCTCTCTCTCTCTCTTTCTCTCTCTCTTTGTCTCTAACTCCCCTCTCTCTCCCTCCCGCTCCCTCCCTCTCTCTCTCTACCCTCTCTCTCGCTCCCTCTCTCTCTCTCTCTCCCCTCTCTCTCTGTCCCTCTCGCTCCCTCTCTCTCTTTCTCTCTCTCTCTCTCTCTCTCTCCCCCTCTTGCTCTCTCTCTTTCTCCCTCTCTCTCTACCCTCCCTCCTGCTCCCTCTCGTTCTCCCTCTCCTTCTTTGTCCCTCTCGTTCCCTCTCTCTCTCTCTCTCTCTCTCTCGCTCCCTCTCTCTCTCTCTATGCGCCAGGTTTTCCTCCAACAGCCCATTCTCTCTCATAATTTTTAAAGCCCGAGTGATTGAGACGCTTCAGATTCCGCTGCCACGTGGATATGATCACCTCTAATTCCACTGCCGTCGCTGGACCATTCACGGTGCACCAAAAATCTTAGGGTCAATCCATCGTGCGACCAATGATTGACGATCAAACAATTCCCAATCGGGTCCCTCCTATCATGACTAAACCGATCTTTCATAGCTTTCCCCATAAAATACCAATTTATTAACTAAAACATTTTTTTTATTATATACGAATAAAATAAGGAAATAGATGCTTCACCGAGGACGGCTAATTACTGAGAAGGCAGCTAAATGACGTGTATTATTTCACGCTCTTCTTATTTTATAATTTTAATTAACTACCATAATTTTCGTTATACATTTATTTCACTTGAATTATTTGCAATTATTGACCATTATAATAAAGTTGCCATTTTTTTTTAATTGAAGGGGATAAAAAAAATCTCAAAACTTTTTACTTTCAGCGTTGGAATTATTAACGGATTCAAAAAAATCTTTGGTAATACTCTTTTGAGAATACTTTCTAACCATGGGCTAAGTTTTGATAATTCCATGAAATTCATGAAATTGCTGAGAGAGAGAGAGAGACAGACAGAGAGAATCCTCAGATGACCAGGGACTAAATCAAAATTTCTGGGTAATTTGCGGGGACCCAGAGCACCAAATGAAAAGATGAGGGTTTTATCCCAAAATAAGTAGTTTACGAGGCCTTGCACCGAAACAATCTTCTAATAAAGCAACCATATAAATAAATAAATAAATTTTATGTAACTGCACGTCTGTCAAAATCCTCCCGCTACTTATTGAAAAGATATTTGATGCGGCGTCGTAGAATATTCTGGACATATTCGATTCGCCTCAGGATATAAGTACAAGGCCCTTAAAAAATGGGTCTTATTTTAATGTCCTAACTAGAAATATTTAATGAGAAAGCCCACTTTTGCGGTCAGATATTCCCATGGGCCCTCTCTCTCTCCTGCGGATATTCCCATCGCGATCCGGTCAACTCCAAACTCGACCGGCTGTCTGCACCTTACGTGTCCCAGTCTGGCTTCCTTTCTTTTTTTTACGCGCCTTAGAAATAAACTAATATTCAATATACTCATATCAAGGAGATCTTAATGGGCCAGTTAAGAGTAAATATTAGGGCCCGTCCCTAATAATCCCGGGCCTACCCCTCTCTCTCTCATCATTTTATGAGTGATGTAGACAGTGGTCGGCAGCACCATGAGAAAAATATCAATAATTGAGAGGATGAGCCAATTACAATCAGTTTTTGCCCCGGCTTGATAGTAGTTCGGCCCGAAGCCCGTCGCCGGGGACTATTTTCTCTGGCCGATATCTATTTTCGGGCTTGGGCCGAGCTTCGGGAGGCCTGGCCCGTTGACCACCCCGTTCTTTTAATTTGTCTCGACTTCCTCGTGACGTCAAAAAAGCGTTGACTATTGAATCAGAAGATATAGAAAATATCATAACGATAGGAGTAGTCATCTGGATGGTCATGCTGCCACGTGTGGAAGAATACATACAGAAAGGAGACTTTATGAGGTACTTGGAAGGGTAAATGCGTCTTTCCTTTCACCCAATGCCATTTTACGGTTCAAGTTGCATGGAATATTCTTAGAATATCCTGGATCATCTATTGACCTATACAGTAATTTTAAAAAAAGGACTCTAGAGTGAGAGTAGTTGGAGAAATGGGTCCTCTCCTATTTGTTCTTACAAAATAGTTTCTGACTATTATTCTAGTGGCCCTCTAGTTTTCCAATATATGCCAATACTCATCCCTCGCCGCGGAATGGGTGTACATCGGCAATTAATTTACACCGCGTATTGGGGTAGATAAGTAGTTTTTGTTGTTATGATGGTCACCGCGTGTAGTTGTAATGCTTTCATTCGAGAACGTCGTGGAGGTGCGTGGGGGAGTGGGGCCCACGGGCCGGCATCACTCACAGGCAGCGAGCTGAAGATGAAGAGAATATACCACCGGCATCTTCTCAAGATCGATTCTGGGGGAGCTTTTTAAGGAGCTACAGAACGGAGGCGTTCTGGGAAAGATCTTCGGATGCATGCTCGCCGGCCTACCAGACAAGAAAAGTCAACTCCCCGCGCTTGAGGAGCTCCAAGTGGGGCGGAGGCGCGGTTTCTCTCGCCGGCGGCGACCCTTCCGCCGCCTCTGCCGCATTTCACCGGCGGCGGGAGGAAGAAGATGGAAGAGAGTGGGGAGGGGGAAGGGATGTGGGAGATAGAGGAGGTGGGGTCGGCCGGCGGCGGGGAGTCGCGGCGGCGCGAGTTGCAGGGCGGCGGTGGCGGGGAGGGTGGCAGCGATTTGTACGTTGCGGTGGGGAAGGGGAGCTCTAGCATGGGGGCCCTTTCATGGGCGCTGAAGCACGTTGCCAAGCCCAAGGACTTCGTCTACCTGATACATGTCTACCCGGAGGTCCGGAACATTCCTACGCCCTGTAAGCTGGTTCCCTGTCTGTCTGTCTCTCTCTCTCTCTCTCTCTCTCTCGCTCGCTCTTTGCATCTATCTTACCCTAAGATCTACTCTGATCTCTCTGTCTCTCTCTTGCGTTGTTTCTCTGTCCAACATCTCTCTTCTCCAGCTATCTATCTCTTCTCCTGTATCTCTTTCTATCTATCTCCAAACTCTCTCTCTCTCTCTCTCTCTCTCCCTGTATCTCTTTCTACCTTTCAACCTCGGGCTCCTCCATACTTTCCTTCCTTTCTCTCTCTCTCTCTAAAACTATCTATCTAGTTAGAAATCTCAAAGCTCAGCCTTTCTTGTCTCTCTATACTCGTCTCCTTCCGTCTGTAATGTATCCATCTCTCTCTCTCTCTTCTTCTCTCTCCCCCAATGTCTGGCCATCGCGAGATCTCCTTTTCAACCTCAAACTCCTCCATCCCTTCCTTCCCCTTCTCTCTTTCTCTCTCTCTCTCTCTCTCTCTCTACAATTCCTATCCACCTATCTATCTATCCAATTACAAATCTCAAAGCTCAGGCCTTTTCTGTCTCTCTATACTACTCTCCTTCCGTCGGTAATGTCTCCATTTCTCTCTCTAACTGGGGGATTGGGGTTGCAGTGGGGATGCTTCCGAGGAACCAGGTGACGCCGGAGCAGGTGGAGAGCTACATGAGCCTAGAGAGAAGCAAGAGGATACAACTGCTTCAGCCATTCTTAAAGCTCGGCGATGCCTCGAAGGTAACCAGATCCCTTCCTTTGTGTTGTCGATAAATTCCAACAAACCATGTGAATTCCGCTCTTGCGGAAAGTAAATGCCATTTTTTCACAATTTCCCACGCAGTCCCCGGAAATGCATTTTTACAGATACGTCCTTTAAAAAAGTAGCTGTGAGCACACCCCCGGAACATCTATTATCAAAGGTAGCAAAACTCTTTATCACAGGTTAACCCTCCCCATATGGGGTGTTTATTGAAGGGTTAAACACGGAAGTTTTATAAAAATGGAGAGCATGATTGAAATTCTTCAAGATTTGGGAGGCTATAATTGAAGTTGCTTATTATCTCATGTAGGCAAGGGTGTGTTATGGGAGATATTTCATCAATTGCCCAAAAAAACTCATAGTTTATATCATGAATGTGACGAATTCAATATTTAACAATAGCTAGATAGAGATATATATATATATATATATATATATATATTGATATAGAGAAAAATAGAGATATACAGCTTCTTTTGGGTATTACTTAAAATTTAATACAAAGATTTATTTTTATTTTTTTCTATGGGATGGATTTCCATATGGATCAGTTTTGTTCTTCTATGGGATGGGTTTCCATATGGATCAATCAACTATATCATTCAACAAAAGAAGGGTAGAAGATAGAAAGAAAGAGATGAAGATAGAGAGTGAGCATGTGAAGTTTCTTATTGAGTATTAGTTCAAATTCAGTGATGGGTTGCACACTTGAATTTAATTTCACTCTTTATGGGATGGGTTTCCATATGGATCAATCAACTATATGATTCAACAAAAAAAGTGTAGAAGAAAGAGAGAGAGAGAGAGAGAGAGAGAGAGAGAGAGAGAGAGAGAGAGAGAGAGAGAGAAAAGAGAGCGTGTGTCCAGATCAAATTCAAATTGAGTATTAGTTCAAATTCAATACCAGGTCACATGGTTGAATTGATTTTTTCTTTTTCTTTTTTGAGATGGGTTTTTCTTATGGACCAATTAACTATGTGATTCAAGGAAAAAAAGGTGAAAGAGAGGGAGGGAGGGAGAGACAAAGTAGAGAGAGATAATGTGCAAGTTTTTATAGGTATTAGTTCAAATTCAATGTCAAGTGGCATACTTGAATTAAATTTTTTTCTTATATGGGATGGGTCCATATAGATCGATCAACTAAATAATTCAACTAAAATAGGGTAGACAAGACAAAGAGAGAGGGGGAGATAGTGACAATGTGAGAGATTATGTGTCTTGGCTCTTATTCTAAATCCACTGATGGGTTGCACACGTCTAATTTTATTCTTCTATGAGATGAGTTTCTATATGGATCAATCAACTATATAATTCAACTAAAAAAGTGGAGGGGAGAGAGAGAGCGAGAAAAGAGTGTGTGTGTGTGTGCGCACATTTTTTTTATTAGATATTATTTCAAATTCAATGTTGGGTTGCACACTTGAATTGGATTTTGTTCTTATATGGGATGGTTTCATATAGATCAATGAAATAAATTATTTAAAAAATGATAGAAGAGAGAGAGAGAGAGAGAGAGAGAGAGAGAGAGAGAGAGAGAGAGAGGGAGAGACAAAGAAAGCAAGATCGTAAAAGTTATTATTAGTTCATATTTAATATAAGGTGGCACACTTGAATTTAATTTATTCTTTTTGGGATAGGTTTCCATATGGAGGCATTCAACTAAATGACTCTGGGATAAAAGGGTTAGAGAGAGAGTACATGTTCTTATTAGTTATAAGTTAAAGCAAAATGCCATGGTGCACACTTGAATTGAATTTTGTTTTTCTATGGGATGGGTTTTTGTATGGATCAATCAACTATATGATTCAACAAAAAAAAGCAGAAAAGAGAAAGAAAGAGATAGATATATAGATAGATAGGTAGATAGATAGAGAGAGAGAGACATGGAGAGAGAGAGAGTAGGTTCTTCTTAGGTATTAGTTCATTCAATATTGGGTTGCACACTTGAATTGAGTTTCGTTCTTCTTTGAGATGGGTTTACTTATGGATCAATTCTCTATATGATTTAAGAAAAAAATGCAAAAGAGAGAGAGAGTGAGAGAGGTAGAGACAAATACAGAGTGTGTCAGTTCTTTTTGGGTATTACTTCAAATTCAATAACATGTTGTACACTTGAATTGAATTATTTTCCTCCATGAATTGGCTTCCATATGGACCAATTAATTTTAGAATTTAACTAAAAAATTCAGGAGAGAGAGAGAGAGAGAGAGAGAGAGAGAGAGAGAGAGAGAGAGAGAATGTGTTTGTGCATGTTCTTGTTAGGTATTAGTTCAAATTCTATGCTGGGTTGCACACTTGAATTGAATTTTTTTTTTAGATGGGTTTCCTTATGGATCAATCAACTATATGACTTGAGGAAAAAGTCTAGAAGAGATAAAAAGAAAGATAAAGAGAGATAGAGACAAAGAGATAGTGTGTATGCATGTTCTTATTGGGTGTTGGTTAAAATTTAATGCCAAGTTGCACATTTGAATTAAATTTTGTTCTTTTATGTGATGGGTTTTTATATGGATCAATCAACTATATGATTCAATGAAAAAAAGGTTGAGAAGAGAGAGAGAGAGAGAGAGAGAGAGAGAGAGAGAGAGAGAGAGAGAGAGAGGGTTATTATTGCTTATTAGTTCATGTTCAGTGTCAAGTGGTACACTTCAATTTTTATTTTTTTTATGTAATGGGTTTCAATATTGATCAGTCAACCATCTAATTTAAGGAAAGTGGAGGCGAGACAGATAGACAAACAGATAGACAGACAGACAAACAACTAGATAGACAAACAGAGAGAGACAAAGATGGAGACAGAGAGAGAGTAGGCTCTTATTGGTTATTAGTTCATGTTCAATGCTAGGTGGCATACTTTAATTAATTCTTTCTTTTAGATGTAATGGGTCTCATATTGATCAATCATCTAATTCGAGGAAAGAAAGGGAGAAGAGGAGTGAGATAAGGAGATGGAAGGAGTGCATTCTTATATCTTATTAGGTATTAGTTCCAAATTCAATATGGGGTTGCACACTTGAATTGAGTTTCGTTCTTCTATGAGATGGATTTCTATATGGATCAATTCTTTATATGATTTAAGAAAGTAACTACAAAAGAAGGGGAGAGAGAGAGAGAGAGAGAGAGAGAGAGGTAGAGACAAATACAGAGTGTGCTAGTTCTTTTTGAGTATTATTTCAAATTCAATAACATGTTGTACACTTGAATTGAATTACTTTCCTCTATGGGACAAGTTTTCATATGGACCAATTAATTTTATAGTTCAACTAAAAAAGGAATAGAGAGAGAGAGTACGTTCTTATTTCTTGTTAGTTCATGGTCAATGCCAGATGGCACACAAATTAAAATTTCTTTTCTTATGTAATGAGTTTTCATTTGGATCAATCAGCTGTAGGATTCCAAAAAAAGCTGGCAGGAGAGAGGGAGAGAGCAGGCTTTTATTGGCTATTAGTTCAAGTTCAATGCTCAGTGGCACACTCGATTTGAATTTTATTTTTTTATGTGATGGGTTTCCATACAGATCAATCAATTGTATGATTCAAGGAAAAAAGGGCAAGAGAGAGAGAGAGTAGGTTTTTATTGGTTATTAGTTCAAGTTTAATGCCAGGTACCACACTTGAATTGAATTTTGTTTTTCTATGTGATATCCATATGGATCAGTCAATTGTATGATTCAAGGAAAAAAGGCAGGAGAGAGAGAGAGAGAGAGAGAGAGGGTGAGTGAGAGAGAGAGAGAGAGAGTGAGTGAGAGAGAGAGAGACATGTTTAAAGTAGTCATTCTTCTGCAAGCAGAATCTTTATTGAGTTTTAACTTCCGTCAACAGGTGATTATGGATACACTATTGATCGAGAGTGATCTAATTGCCAACGCCATCGTTGAACTCATTCCGGTCCTCCACATCCGAAGACTGTTCATGGGGATTTCGAAATCCAACATCAGGTACTATTGCTCCCCATTTTCTGTCTTTATTCTTTTTCATCATCTACAATACGCGATATTCATTTTTAGTTCTTGGCCCTCAGCCTTCACTTATCTCTACATTATTTCTCTGCGGCAATGTCTCTAAAACCAACCCATCTGTAGCCCCCGTAGGGCCCTCCATCAGACTCCATTACCATGACTAGAACTGATTGGGATGCGTAGTACCCCCGGCACCTCCATAACAGATACCAGGGGAGGGAAGGACGGAGAGCTGCGGCTGCGGATCTCTAATGAGGGGTGAATGGAAGGGGGTGGGAGGTTTGAATGGCCGAGGAACGAGAGGATTTTGAAAGAAGATTAATTAATGACTTTTTTACCCCTCTCTCTCTCTCTCTCTCTCTCTCTCTCTCTCTCTGTGCGAGCAGAGATGAGACGCTCCATCAGGGTCTCACCCAGGAAGGGGGAGCGCCGGTCTTGGATCAGCTTTGAGAGAGACAGAAAGAAAGATGGGTTCAGAAGATCTCGGTTAGAACACCAAGCCACTGGAAGTAGTAACAAGGAAGATCCCATGCATGCATGCCCCATGGATCATCAATATCTTACGACTCCTTGGCCGGTCAAAGTGCCCCTTGCCCCTAGAATCCTACATTTTTCTAGGGAATTGCTAGCGGAGAGGGGATTTGAATGGCAGATGATAGAAGAGGATTTCAAACAACATTTAGTTAGCTAGTCAGTTACTTTTATCCCTCCTTCCCTCTCTCTCTCTCTCTCTCTCTCTCTCTCTCTCTCCGTGCATCTTCTAGAGCTCATCGGCACCCTGAGACGCATCTTTCCTTCCAATTTCGATGGTTTCTGGCTTCCTGCAGGGCGATGAGGAAAGGAGCTGGGAAGAGCGGGCAGGTGCTGAGAAATGCACCGGAATATTGCCAGGTCACCGTCATCTCTGAAGGAGGAGAGGTGAGAGCATCAACCACCGACGACTACACGGCGGCGGCGGCACCACCGCCCACACCGCCCACACCGCCGCCTGAGACGGCGAGGAAGGGCGACGACAGTGGCGGAGCCGAGAGGCTCGACGAGCCCAGGAGTAGCGACATGGCCATCTGCGTCTGCTTCCCTCGGAAGTTCCTATGAACTGTGGAGATTACACGAATAACAATAATGACACAACCATAAAAAATAAATCGATCTACAGCTCATCTCGTGTCGTTGATTTCCTCCTCGGGAAGCAGAAGAATCATTTAATCTCTCAGGAGAGCTCGGAGATCACCCGGTCGCACTTGTCTTCCAGGACCTTGACAGCCTCGGAGAAGAGGACCTCGGGTGGCAAGGCTCCGGTGGACTCGATCTTGACTGTAAATGGGAACGAGCATATAATCACTTAACATAAAATGAGGGAATTTATCTCCTGCCCATATCAGATTGATGAAACTCTCTGGCGGATTGTCGTAGGTGATCTCTTTTGTTTTTTTCTTCTAGGGCGTTGTGTGGAGGGACTTACAGATGAAATGATCTTTAACACGCCGGACGGCTACGCGCTCCTCCCAGCCCTCCCCACGGATGCATTCTCGGCACAAGGTGCACGCCCGTGGGTTGGCCACCACCGCCTTCTTCTTGCCTGCTTGACGGCCAACAGGGGACAACGATTCAAAACATGAGATGATATCAATCAAAGAAGAAGAAGAAAGATGAATGCTTTTTAATGGGCTCTTGTAGATCGGTATTTGTAAAGTCCCCGGCTTACTGAGGATCGAAGAGGGGAGAGATAGAGAGAGAGAGAGAATATTAAGCCTGTGACATCCAATGAATTGCACTCGAACTAATTGAACGAGTGTTAAGCGGTGAGGAAAAGAGAGTCGATAATGTAAAGCTGACGGTGGTGGCAGAATTCTATTCTGCCAAATGCCCAGTCGTTCAGAGTCTGATGCAACTCGAAAACTTTGTTGGCAGAGAAGAAAATCCATCAGAAGGCTTCACAGTCTAAGTTCTTTTACCGTTTTCAAAATGCATGTCGTGATGGGAGGCTAAGGAACAAGCTCTAGAAAAGAAATTAACCTGTGGCAAGATCTTCAATATCCTCAAAAACATTGACTGGACATTTCTTTACCAGCTCTTCAGCAAGCTCCCCTTCTACATCCTCCAACAGAACAACCTATGGAAAGTGTGTAGCATCATCCCATTCAGGAAAAAGATGGGCGGTGGACTCAGGGACTAGAATCTAACGAGGAGGGGATTAAGATACAGTGTCTGTCACCTCAGGCAGCATCCTGTACCATGCCGTTGCCACAGGTGACCACTTGGCGTGAGTTTTCCCCAAACCCTTTATGGCATGAGCTTCAAGCTCAATCTCCTGAAACGAGAAACGGATCGACGAGCTTGGAAGTTAGTGAGAAAAAATGCGGTTAATCGTCTTTGGGAACAGATAACATACTCAGCATTTTCACTTTTTTTTTTAATAGCACGTTATATACAGGATGCTGTTACCTCTACAAATGAGAAAATAAAAAAGATGCACCAGAGGATTAATCCACTAGTGTGTGAAGAACAACGACATCTTCCTCAGCTGTTTGCTTCGATATCCACTAGAATAAGTTCAAGGGACGACTTAGCTGATTACCTGGCCAGGCCCGAGCTTAGCAACGATGATATCTTCATGCTTAAGGCCGATAGGTTTATTTGAAAATTCTGGTAAGGAATCTTGACTACAAGTAAACGAAGTGTAGCTTTTTGGCTTCGCAGATGGATTTGGTGATGCCATTTCAAGTTCGCTCCCATTTGGCAACCACTTAAGCTGATCAGACTTGACTGCATCACAGGTAAAATTACTTCTCGCTCAATAACTGGGAGAGAACGACAATGGATGGCAGATCAGTAGTACTGAGACTGTGCTGTACCTGTGATGCGAGGGCCAGATTTTTTGCAGGAAACGTGCAACTTGAAAACTATTGTATTCCTCTCATTTGGAGAATCGTTTCCTATACACCAAGGACACGGATTTGATATGATCGAGCACATAAAAAATATAGTATTTGAGAACCAAGCAATGGGTATAGGTCAATACCTGAGAGGTACTCAAATAACCGTGGGTCAACGTCTAGTGGGATAAGACCAATTCTATGGGACAGCACGTCATCTGCTATCACCGATGTGTTGTTGACCATGAGAATCTTTTCAATAGCCATTGTCGGAATCTGCAAGAAATATCAATCCCGAGAACATGAGGGCGCCAACATAAATTTAATGAAACAAGGTCTATGAAGCTTTCAATGAGCAAAGTTACCCACAATCTCCGTAGTGTGCTGTACAGCTGTATAGACACGAAATCAGAAGCATACCTCAGCTATCAAAATCCTCCGAAAGGCATTAGCCACTGACGCATCAATACCAATCATGTCAAACTCCATCTCATCCTCCGTAAGTTGAATAATTTCAACCCTAAATTTATTGCAGAAATCGTCCAATCGCAGGCTGTTATCAATCCCCATTGATGCATAGGCGCCGGAGTATTGGATACCTTCTGACTTCAGACAAGATAGAATATTATCAGGAGTCAGCTGATTTGAAACCAAATAAGAGACGGTGGCCCACAAGAATGATTACAACTCTCATGACAAAACCCAACGCGGAAAAAAAAACAGCATGGATATGGGAATAAACGACGAAAAAAGTAGAAAAATAAAGTAACATGAACATTAGAAAGGGGCCTAATCAAAGTGAGGGTGAAGGAAAAAAGCCTACGTGCGTAGGAGCATCCGAACCACAGAGGACACGCGTCCTCTGGAGCTCAAGGTGTGGAGGAAGCTGCCCCTTGGGCACGTCTGGAATGTCCATGACGGACGCCTTCTTCATTCTTTCCCCAGGAAAAATGACAACGAAACCAACTGCAGCCAAGTGGTACCAAATAAATAGGAAAAGGGAAAAGATGAGTCAATTCAGCAGTACATATGGCCAAATAACCCAAAGAAGAAGGACGCAGGAGAAGTAATGAAGAGAAAACGGACGATCAGAGGAAAAGAAGAACGCGGCCGAAGGGGGGAGGAGCAGAAGAAGAAACAGAAAAAAAGATGGGAAAGGAAGAGAACTCACCGAGCGGAGGGGCGGAGATTTCTGGGGCAGGCTGCAAACAGAAGCTAGGAAGGCCCGGGGATGTGCCTGACGTGCCGGAAAAGAGGAGGCCGTCAAGGAAATGCAGCTCTCGAAGGCTCCGGCGGTGAGGCGGAGGAGCTGGGAGCTGCCGGCGGGGGAGAAGGGGGTGCTTTCGTCGTTACGGGGGAGGGGTTTTAAAGGGCGGAACGCGACGAATTTCGTAAAACCTCAGCCGGTAAATAACTTATCAATTTTGTGTATAATAAATACCTGCTGAATTTCCTTACGAGGGAAAAGAAAAACCACATGCGCAAATTAAGGAAGAATGCGTGATTATTACCCTTCTTTACTCATCTCCTTAGTTCGTGGAAGTGCATCTTCTTCGTTCCATTTCTCTCTATACTTTCCTGGGGAAACATGCTGAAAATTATTTATTTCTTTTTTTATACATTACCAAATATTTTATATACATTTCCAAAGAGAGGAGAAGAGCAACAAATCTAGACTAGTAACGTTTTGAATTTTTTTATCAAAATGGGGAGGTAAATGCATGGTTTAATATATTTATCAAAATTGCAGCACAATTATTTTCACGTGCTCAATCGTTGAGATCACCGGGCTGTCACCGGCTTTCTCAAAACCATACACGATTAAATTAATTTAATTTTCTCGTTCATCCATTTTCTCATTCTCTCCTGGAAATCTAAGCTTGGAAAGTAGAAATTAAGTGTCTAAAATAGAAATATTTTACGCTGAGAAATATTGAAAAGTAGAATAAAAGAACAGTAACGCGGTTAAATTATTTATTTCTCTTTTTTATACGCAACCTATTCTCATCCACTATCATCTCTCGACTCTGACTCAGGATTAAGAAATAATTTATTTATAAAAAATATGTTTTTAACGAAGAATAATTAAAAATGTAGAATAAGAAGAACAGAAATAGCCCAGAGACCACTTGTATTTTATTTGAAGACCAAGGTTGGAAAGCGTGTGGCTGATCCTATTCGTCCCAAGACAATTAAAAAATAGGATGATAGGGATTTCTAGGGAAGAAAATTTGTCATGGTCCGGATGTGAGCCTATTTCCCAAAGTTCAGACCAAATTTTCATGAACGACCCCGATCAAAAGATTTAGTACTATTTAAGGACCCAAATTCGTGGAAGTTCAAGGATATGAGAGATTTTGGGCAGATCTTCTAGAACTAATCTGTTTGCCCGTTTCAAGGTCTAGCCAGAACCTGACTTTCTGTGGGGAGTATAATCGCTAAGATGGACGCTGTACGCTCGTCCGCAAGGGCACTTGACCTCCTCTGAGATGGCCTGACACATAGATAAAAATAAGGAGGCTGACGAACAGGTAAAGCATAATTCTGGTGAAGCGTTATTTTGAACAATTCAATAAATACGAAACTTAGTCATTTGAAGAGACTATTAAAATTCTGATTTTGAAGCTACCATTACAGATTGCAATTGGAGATGATGTCACCGAACTAGGGGGGACGGGCCAGATCTGGGCTTTGGCAAGCCCAGCCCAAACCCATTCATCCTCTTCAAGGCCCACATCTGGCTTGGCCCCAGAGGAGAGCCTCGAAGATAAGTCCAGGTCAGAAGACTCCATGGATCTTAGACTTTTGAGAGGTTACGCTCAGACTGGGCCCTATATATCTATGTATATACACATCTATCTATATATATATATATATAGCGAGCGAGCGAGAGAGAGTGAGTGAGTGAGAGAGAGAGAGAGAGAGAGAGAGAGATAAAAGGGAAACTGCGGGACGGTTATAAGCCAATCAGAAGCAACTGTTTGTCCAAGGTAAGATCTTCGTACCAAGAAAAGTCCGATTCTTTCCTGGAGAGACTGCAAGTACTCAAGCTCTCCACCTTTATCAGTCAACAGAGCCTGGTGCTCCTCTTCCAAGATCTTCGTTTCCGCTGTTTTTATCTCACACTGCAAAACCAATAGCACAAAATTAGTAACATTTT